TATCTCATGCTATATTGATAGGACAAAAGGTCAGCCTTGTCGACTGGTGGATATCTCATCGGTGAAGTTTGAACGAATAGCTGTCAATGAATCTCTCGGCTGGATGCTAGTGCAAATATCCTATCAGCTATTCAATCGCGTGATTGTTCCCCGCTCATGAGTGTTTGGGATAAGAGTGCCGTGCTATCTCTCGTTTTTAGACGGCATCGTTCGTTCCTGACAATATCTCGAGAATCATCCTATAATCCTTCATTCATCGCCCATTATAATGGCTCAGTGCACCAGTAGCTCCAAAATGGCTTCATACAACAGACATGTAAGTACAAGTTGTTCTTCAACCCTTCACGGACCAACACAAGCTCCATCGATCCTATCTTAGTGCTCGAAATTCGGTGCATCCGTGATCAAGCATCCACTGAACAATTAACCATGAGAAAGCGAACGCTTTTCTTTTCTTGGATGATGAGTTGGTACTAATCAGCTATAGGGAGATCCTCAGCCTAGGGATGGGGAGTATAGGGTTCGCCCACACTCCTCCATATGTTCATGACACGAAACTGAACTTTGACAGCCAAAGGATCCCACCGCTCAAGGCCCTCCTGCGGACGGAGGCTACAGGGTCCGTGAAACCTAGTCGAAGCTTCCATCCATGGCACTAAACAGCGATAGCCAAAACAAACCGGCTCTCCCGATGTTGTACAGCCACGAGATGGAGGCGGCTGGGTAGGTCCACTCAATCCCAAGGCTGTTCGAAATGATGCTAAATCACATAGTGAGAGGGAGTCAGATGACTGGTGAAATAGGCGGAAGTGGCATCGAACAATTGGCGAGGGTGGTGGACAGTAGACATGGAGATGGCAGCGAGGAAACTACGGCAATCGCGGCGGCGATAACTTTACCTGCAATGTACTTCTTCTCTCGTAACATGCAAGTCTCAGAAGCACGTGGGCATTTGCAGGCTCATGTGCGACACATACGATTCGCCGTTGCGGACAACTCAAATACCTCTGCGCTTGTCCTAGGTAGTCTTGTCTCTTCAAGCATCAAAAAGTGTATGGTCACAAATGACTTACGACAAATTGGTCTTACCTACTTCTCAGCGTAGAGGATTTGTTCAGAGATGTTGTAAGTGCATGCTACCCAAGCAACAAAACATGGAAGCTGTCTAACCATTCATTACATATAAACATTACATATCCACACCAAAGCATGACCACCCAAGCTCAAAGCTCAAAGCATACTCCTCCTCTTGGCCAACTTTTGATACTGCCTCGACGTCCTCATCTGCCCATCCTCCATCTCATAATCCGACGCTATACTTCCGGGCTTGTTAGTCACAGGTGGTCTGAGACTCTCCACCGCACTAGCAGGCCGAAGCTTCGTCGGCGCGGAACGTTCCTTCATACTAAATCTGCGTTTGACTGTCTCGCCTATCTGGGCGAAGAAGGCGTTGACACCTTTGGCTTCTCTTGGGGGAGCTTCGTGTATCGGGCTGTGGGTATGGGTATGCATGTGGACGTGCGGCTGGCCATGGCCACCGAGGAGATGTGATTTCTCGCCCGGTTCCATGTATAAGTGGTTGCCCTCGTGGTTTACGAACCAGTTCACCATGTATTGTTTTCCCTCTGGGCCGCCGCCACAGGAACCGGCAAGGACGTGCGACGGGGGCGAGTTGACGGCGAGAGCGAAGAGGTTGGGCGGTTCGCAAAAGTCCGTCACTAGTCCGCGGTGGAAGATGAAGTAGATGAGGACGAAGACGTTCATGGCGAAGACGAGAGCGAGTATGAGTACCCATGCTTTGGATGCGCCTGGCATGCCCCCGGATGCGTATTGTTGGGCTTTGAGCGAGGCGTTGAAGAATTGTGTTTGGTACTCATCGAGCATAGGGTGGGAATAATTCTGTGGTTCAGGTCAGCGCATCAGCTTGGGAAGTGCAGGAAACGGCGAGATGCCAACAGCAGGAGACAGAAGAGTCGCGTACCCAGAACGTAACAAAGGGTGTATCCACCATACTCAAGAGCAGGGTACAGCCCGCCAAAACAGCCAGAGCTTCCCCTAAACTGGGTATGGCATTGCTTAGGTCGACCTGAAGGTTTTCTGGATCCGGGTTGGTAGGCTTCAACACCAATTGTGTCAAAAGCCTAGAAGTACTCGCATTGGCATCCATGAGGCCTGTGCCAAGGGATAGACTGTTGGCCCAGTCAGTACCTATGTCGCGCCAATTAGCCACACCCTTTGTGTTAACGCTAACTTCGTCTCCTGTCTCGACGAAGGCCTTTTTGTCGTTGGGATCTTCACAGAGTGCTTCCATAGTGGCGCCAGATCCTGTGACGTTGTGTCGCGTACTGCATCCCGGCCTCACCGTGAGGTGTAATTTGCACAATGAGAAGATGCCTGTCCCATCCATGCCAACATCATCTGGTCCTCCTTGTCCTAGCAGGTAGATTGCGGGTCGTCCCCAGGCAAAGCTAGTGTGGTTCATGATTGTGTTGAAAGGCAAGGGGTATTTTCCGAAGACGGGTGGCCAGTTCATCGTGGTTGTTGTGTCATTAACATCCCAGCCGAAAATCTCATCCACCACAGTCTTGTTGGTTGTAGTCGCGTTGTCCCTGATACCAGGAACGTTTCCCCAAGAAAGAAGATCGACTACATCATCGTTGGGCCAGGCGTCGTATACAATAGGCTCTAGCTCTGTCCTGTTCATGTTTACGCATAATACGTTCAAGACTGGCGACGGCACCGAAGCGCGCAACGAGTAGGTTCCTTCGGAGTTTAGCTCTTCTGGTTGCAGAATCCCATTTCTTTGGTCGCGGGCAGCAGCGAAGACGCCCGAGTGAGGCATTGCCATCGTTACATTGTTGATAACTCTACCGTGCTTCTGCGACACCTCAGTAGTGTTGACGATGTCAATCCATTGCCCAGTGACAGTGGTGTTCTCGTACAGAAGCCCGAAGCCCTGTGGTCGTAGCTTCTGGACCGAAGTGCCGTTACCGTTCCTGGCTGATAGATCCCAGTCCGAGAGGTAGCGCTGAAAGTTGTGGTAGCCTTGGCCAGCGTGTTCCATCTGTAGGCAAGTTTCTCCTTGGGCTTTTTGGTCGGTTCGAATGGGTGTTTGACACATTTCCTTGAGGTAGTTGATGTTTGCGAAATCGCTTTTGACACGACCAGCCAAGACCAGACCGTTATCCCAATTACCGTCTCTGAGCATAGGCTGAACAGTAGCAGCAGCCGCAGATGAGTAAAGCGTTGCCAGAACAGCGCTCAGCAGACTCAGTATACCCAGGAAAGACAGCCCGGCATACTTGGCCGTCTCCCAGTGCGTGATTAATGTGCCGGGCTGCACGACCCATCTCCACATACTAAGTTCCGACAGCGTAACCCCTCTCCCATGATCCTTCATAAACGCCCTCCGACTAAGCACCTGCCCAAGAAAAGCCACAAAAGCCGTCACAAAAGACAACTCGATAAGCTTCGCCACGACCGTCGTTAGTAGAATAGCATCAGCCGGCGTGACAGGACCATGACTAGTAATTCGCCGCCCATAATGAGGAGCACGGATAGCCAGAGCCAAGAAGATTCCCGAAAATAAGCAGGAGAACAGCGAAATGACAATCAAGGACAGATTGAGCCAAGTGAAGCGTGGGTGATAAAAGTCTCGTGTCGTCGCACATTCATGAGTTGGGCGAAAGTCATTCTCGTATGCCGATTTGATGGATGGAGCGGCGCCGCCGCCTCGGAGCCCATCGGTATCAGCGGAATGTATGTACGTTTCGTATTCATTGATACTGCTGTTGCTTTGCTTTGCGTTCTTCAGTATGCCGTGCCGAAACTCTTCGTATGTGCCAACGTCAGGACTCGCTCTGCCAACGTCGGGGCTGAACCTGTCTCGTCGTAGATCAGGTGTTGACTCATTTGAGCTCTTGGGGAAGCCTCCAAAGTACGGGTCGGCTGAGCCTAGGGGCGAGAATGCGCCAGGGCTCTTCGTGGGCGGGCTCTTGGGGCCAGGACCGACGGCTCGTCGCGGGATGGGTTGTATGCTAACGCGTCTGGCGGTTTGCGTTGTCGGGCTGGCGGTTGCTATTCCCAGTCCATTGTCTTTGCCGCGCTGGAAGCTGTCTGCAATATCTTCCTCCTCGTCCTCCTCCTGTACGATGCTTGGTGTGTTGCGACCGACGGCCGTGGTATCGCTTTGCAGCCGTGCGTAGTGCGGTCGCGCAGGTGGCGGGGTGTTAAGCCCGAGAGTATGGGAGTTGCTGGAGAAGCCGAGCGAAGGCAGGGCGGGAGTGTTGTCTGAGCTCTCAGAGAGGTCCGAGGACTCGTGCATGAGTGGCCGGCGGTCGACCATGATGCCTGCCGTATAGCGCCCCTCTTGCTGTTGCCTACGTTTCAGCCTTCTCTTCTTATAGTGCTCTTGCGGTCGGTATTGGCGGGAGGCTGCGTAAGGCCGCGTTTGTATGACCTGGGGCTGCAGGTGAGCGGCTCAGCTTGGATGCGACGGAACGAATTCACGACAGGGGAGGGAGGAAATAAACTGTCGCAAAGAGAAGAGACGACATGGCAAGGTCGTTCGGCGAGAAGCCTGAGGCATAAGGCCTCAAGGGATGACCCGACTGTCCGCTGCGGTCGCACGCACGTTCAGCTGTCGCTGGGCGGCTGCAAGCTATTCGCTTGTGGCGCTTGATTATGGCCCCCAAACTACATCCAGACCACTCTGCTGTGCCTCGTAGTGGTCCATGGTCTCCATAGTGCCTCTTCTGACCGGTAGCGAATGCGCAGCTGTCAATCACTGCTGCTTGCGCTTTGTGAGCATGTCTGGCCGTTCGGCAAGCTTGACGAAGCTTGTCCCTCCTTCCGGAGTTTGCAATATGCCATGCGCAGCAATGCAAAAAAATCATTGCCAAGCTGTAGGTAGACGATATCAGGGTGCCTCAATGGGCCTCGTGATGCGTGACAACCCTTGGGGACAATCAGTTCGGTTTGGTGAGGTAGTACATGGTGGAGTGTTGGGAGCTTAAGCCCTCCCCCACAAACTCAGGGTCCCACGCGTCGCGTGGGAAGAAGCTAAGGAAAGCACGAACATCGGACTGGGTCCACGCCTGCTGCATTCTACCCGATAGCCTTGACATGCTCATCAACCAAACACTTCCAATCCGCACTTCCATAATAAACCGTATGCCCATCATCATGTGTCAACTGCCCCGTACTCTCTACCGTATCCCCCAGCTGCCAAAACAGATCTGCCGCCATCCCACTATCCCTTAACGCCAGACTGGTCTTCTGCCAGCCCCCCTCCACGGGACAGTGATCCTCCTTCTTGGGCACACCGTATTCTTCAAACAGACACGGTTTGTTGAGCTTTTGACAAACTTGAGCATGCGCTTCAATCCAGCCGTCACCGAACGAATTGCTTACACCCCAGCTATCCGGGTACAGATGGAAGGTGCCGAAACTTATGTTGCCTAGTTTCAAGTTTGCTTCCCAGTCTATACCTTCGATGTATTGGTAGGGATACGAGCCGTCGCCTGAAAGACCGAAGCCTTCATCGCCGACGGTGATCATGTGGTCGGAGTCGAGGGAACGGATGTAGTCACTTGTTTCGCGGATCCAGTTCGTGAGGACAGACGTCTGGCAAAGACTGCAGCGCGGTTCATTGGCCAATTCCCACGCGAATACAGCGTTGGAGTTGCGATAGCGCGAGATGACGGCCGCGATGTACGCTTGGTACATGGTCTGGCATTCGGTTGCTGTGTACCATTGCGCATTGCTGATTACGCCGCACGCGGAGAAGTAGGCGGCCATGCCCCCATAGTCGGTCCAATTATTCACAAAGTTGATGATGAGTTTCATTCCGTGTTTTTCTGCAGCCTTGACTACAGCGTCAAGTCGCTGGAGTCCATTTGCGCCCGTGTTGATGGTGGCGGAGGATCCGGAGAAGGACTGGAAGTACACTGTGCCGGAACCTGGGACAGTTTTGACATCGTTGAAACCCCATATTCTGAGTATCTTCTGGCCTGAGGTGGCTAGGTGGCCCATTATGACGTCGACATCGTTATCGTTCGTCAGGAAAGGGATCCAGTAGGAGTTGGTTCCGGCGTAGTCTGAGGATAATGTGAGTGTTGAGAGCGTCATCAGGGCACTGGAGCCTTACACTTAGTTACACCATCAATGTTGAATTTGAGGCCATCGGCTTTTGGAACGGAGGCTCGCGGTGATAAATCGATTGCTGGGGGTAAAGCTGCCACAGCTGCGCCCAGCGAAAGTATCGAGAATATCTTCATGATGCTGAAACAGAATTTCGCTGTCGGCGAGTGTTCAGCTACTATTAGGTAGCGCTCCCGACCAGTAAACTTATAGGAACTCGTCGACTACGATAAATACTTACCCGAAGCAGAGCGGCACAAGACTCTCCGCTTCAGAATGGATCATACGGCAATCGCACATCGAATCGACTCTAGTTGTGGGGTAATATAGTAGCCAAGGTCCTAGTGTGGTCGTGATTGGCGCACTAGAGACGAAGGGGCTTCCTTTCAATTACCATTTTTGGCACCAATGCATCGGAGCGCCAGCTTCCACATAACAGATAGCAGACTCTCATCTTTCTGGAACTATGAGAGAGGACATTGATCAGTAATCGCGACATTTGCGCAGAGTATGTAGCAACTGTGGAGGCGAAGTTGCTGAATTACTCCGCGGCTAACAAACCATGCAATGTATTCGGCACAAACTTTCCGACGAACCAGCATAACGAAACAAGGGTCATGCCTAGCAACTGACGAGATGATGAAACGAAACAACTGATAACGGTGTAAGAGATGTCGATAGCAAGAGAGGTTGTCACGACTTTTAGTAAACGATGGAAGAGATGTTCGCTTGCCCGCTAGACGAAGTTGCAGTATCGGTTCGCCCGAGGCGCTTTCGCAGCCTACGGAGGCATCTTGATAGTGTCCATCACTCTTGATGTTCGAAACTGCGCTGCCGTGGATTTAAGCGGAGCTTTAGTGGAGATACACAAACGTCCGTTGCGCGCTGAGAGGTGACGGGGATGAGCAACATGCAGGGCTGCAAACCCAAGATGAGCAAAGGTCTCTATACAGCAAGGCGATAGTGTGATGAGGAGAAAGCGAAAGCGAGAGATGAATAGCAAGCAACAAGAACCGTTCGAACGATAATGCCAACAAGGAGTACCAGGCCCAATGCGGTCTGAAGACGATAATGGACTTGATTAATCGGCAGTCGCCCGCTGAAAAAGCAAGCAAACCCAGCGTTCGGATGATATTAGGGAGAACGGGAGATTTCGTTGGGAAGAAGAAAGCTTTTATTCCGACTTTGCCCTGCGGCTCGCTCTCCCTGGGTCATGTCGAACATAGGGCTGCAGGGACGCACGTGCGCATTCAAAGTCTGCGTGCATGTCGTGGAGCTGAGATATGTCAGTGCTGGTCCTTCCATTCCATGACCATGAAGGGATATGGGCCAGACCATGTCAACGTAATACCAATGATTGGTGCTAAAATCTTGTACTGCTGAACTGCTAAGGCACTTCGTGTCGAAGGACTAAGGCAAGGATAGCAATGGCGTAGCTTAGTCCTTCCATCTCCACGCTAACGGTGCGAGAACGGTGTTCGGATCAGATCCACCCTGTTATTTCAACATTTTTCTTGCTTTCTTGAAAAACCAACATGCATGGTGTAACTTGAGGAGATTTTCTGACGGCATGTCGTTCGTACGGAAGCCGCTCAAACTCTGCACTGAGTGGTGTGGATTGCAGGCCTTAGTCGAGCAGTTTGATCCGGGCGGTGATGGCATGGCAAATGCAACCGTGTGGTACGGACGCCTAGTGTGGGGGTAGTTGGAGCTATACAACATGGTGGACGTCAACGACGCCGCCAACTGTCAGCAAGTCAGATCTTGATAGTGAGCAACCACCGGTGAGTAACCTGACGTGGGCGGTGAAAGATGGCGAGTCATCCAATAGTGGGACAAACGTTCGGAGTCGGGGTTCTTTTCGGTAGGCGCCCTTCCAACTCGGTATATGCATACAGACAGTCGCATGTTCGATGATGCAGTCGACCTTGATCTGGCAGCAGTCGCGCATTGTTTTCCATGCCGTGCAACCCGCATCTTGCTTATGGGCTGCAGAGCTGACCTTGTGTAGCGGTACACAGAACTAAGATCTGAGCTAGTGCCGTCGCGTGGCGTAACCGAAGTACAGGCAGCGTTGGGGACGATGACCACGAGTCTGGTGTTGCATGTCTCAGTCCCACGCGAGGCGCGTAAGACGTGGGAACTCGTAGTCGAAAGCGCACGGCGTAACTTGCCGTTCGAGTTAGTGCCCCGCAGTGTCGCCGTTGGAACCAGAAGAGGATATGAGCAGGGACGTCGTACTAGATGAAGCAAGGAGAGGTCTGCCCTGGGGTACGTTTCAGACCCAAATTTGAGGATCTGGCTTTTGAGAAATGAGACAAGAGGACAATGCAAAGCGTTGTGGTGTTCATCCCACACATCAGCTCTTCTCTAGGATAGCCCTGGAACGTGCTGCACATTGAGGCTCGGGCCGGTTAGGGCCGGAAATGTGACCTGGACTATCGAGTCTGACCCCGGGTCCGCGTACACGGTTGATCGACCATAGCGGCCGAACGCGTACAGTATCGAATTTTCCGCGCTCGGCTGCGGCAGAGGCCTCTTATTTGCAAGGATGCCACACCTCCTGAATAATATTCGTGTTGGTCAGACGAAACCATGCGTGACCGGTCGCCTGGTGCTGGATTCCTGAATAACCTACATTGTATTTGTACTACGCGTGTCTATTAAGAGTAGCTGCGACTGGAAAAGCAATCGCATCGTTCATGGAATTACTGAACGTGGTGTTGCCGAAGACTACCGAATGTCCGTGCTGGAACGTTCAGATGGGCGTACGGCATGAAATTTGACAGCAAGAGCTGATCGTCCGTCGTCGGCGGCTCACCACCAGGGCGACATGACACGAGAGCCAACGTCTCGCAGGATGTTCGTGGAAAAACAATAGACATGAGAAATTGCCGTTCTTACTCGAAGTGCTTTCTGCCAATGACATCCTTTGGAGAATGACGCACAAGCATTTCAGCCACCGCCGATTCCGACTTTCTAAGGCCCGAGCCCTGCGAGCACCGTCACAGTTCCTCACCTCAGCCTCCCTCAAAACAAAATCCTGCCAAGACTAGGCGGAAGCGGGGGGTAGACCGCGGTGCCCTAAAATCTCCCGCTCCTCTTGCTTCCTGTGATTCCAGAAACGAGCAGGCTTTCTTTGAGCGTCGTTCGTTGTCCCCAGGTCGTCCAGTCGCCATGAGTATTCGGATAAATGCGACGGTCCAAGAGGCCCGAACAGCTGCAAACCACAGCCAGGAACAATGGGACCGATTCTACGTAGGTATACTCTTGTCGCAAGGGTATGCTTGGCTAACGGACTAGTTCATAACCAAAGACGAGGCCAGGCAGCTTGCAGAGGCGCACCCTGACTGGAAAAGATGGATCCTCATCCCCGCGAACGAGAAAGAACAAATGCTGGAGAGGATCAACGCCCGCCTGAGTGCTGAAGGTATCCCACCTGTCGAGATGATTATCCTGAAGTGGCGGGTGTCACAGTTACTCCGAGACATCCAGCGGAAATACGGTATGTGCATTTGTGCCCAACACTGGTGACTCGAGGTAGCGGTCGGCTATGATGACGCCCTATACAAGTACATTAGCTGATTCAAATGACTTTGCAGAAGCCGGCAGCATGCTACAAGGGATGCCAGGCACGAGCTCAGGGTCAGGATCGGGGTCACCAATACAAGTCCAGACAGCCCAATCGCCTCCAGACAGCAGCATTCAATCGTCGAGCCCACAACGAACGGAGTATTCACCAAGCGAAACTCGCCCATACGATCCAATACGGGATGTGTAAATCCCAAGCCCCCGGGAGGAGATTTGTCTTTCACAGCGCGCGTTCAAAGTCGAGAACAGGAACACCCGACGAATATTTGGTATTCGAGCCTGATACCCCAGACCGCAAAGCGCGACATGGATAACGGGAAAAGAGCGAGCTAGCGAAACCACCTCACGAGGAGACGGAGCGCCATAGGATCCAGCAAGCTGTCTTTGTGCGATCGTTGTGGGGCGCTTCGAGGAGACGCATCGGCAAGAGATATTGCGTCGAGAAAGCAGACTATGCAATCGCAGCGTCCCATGCGGCCACACCGAGCGGGCTCGACTCGGGGTTGTGTATAGTACTCTGGTACGTAGCCGAGGCAGTGCTGAGGGTGTCGTGCGCTGCCCAATCCGGTATTTGCCTACTTCCAATATCTCTTGCTTGCTTTTCTATGTACCTGCAGCTTTCCACACGTCTCAATCCCCCGATGCCGGCTACTCATTGTTGATTGGCACGCAGCGTGCATCTGGCCTTGGCGTAGTGGCTTTTCCGTCCTCGTGCATTGTGCATACAGCCCAATCTCGAAAGAGTCGGAAACGATGAACGGTTCTAGACCACGCATGGTATTTTCTCCGGTTTCTTTTGGCGTTTCTATTTCGACGCTGCCCTTTCGCATGTCTCAATCTAGGAACAATGCATTCTAGTATTGGAGGTTATCAAATTTGGTCTCCTGTTGTTCCAACGAGGTACACCCATTCGCTGCTAACGATGGAAGAAAGAATCTCTTGCGCATGTCGTGTGGGCCAGCGTCGCAGGGTGAGGGTCGCTAAGCGTCGAGTCGTGGAGCGAGTGGGCAGAGCGGTCTTGTATGACGCAGCTGAGGGCAGCTCATCGGTGTGTCCTTCCGAGGTCGGCTAGGCTCATCGATCTTTAGATGCTCCTACTGTCTCATGAGCTGCTCACCCCGATCGTCAGATGGATGTGGTTCATCTACGTGACAGTCCTGACCATCGCTAGAAGCGTGAGTAACGGAGAATCATGGCCTGCAGAGTTGGTCGGGCATCTCTGGATTTCGGAGCTTGTGAGCCCGGAGAGGCTACCGGTGTGGAGGTTCAATGCTTGCCTGCTGGCCGAGGAGCGTGTGCGGGAGCGTGGTGACATCAGAGAGGAGTCGCACGTCTGTGTGGCAACCGCGCCATCGTGTTGGGGGATACTAAAAGATATGGCATCCTAGATGATGACGCCGAGCCGGATGACAACTTGATGAAGAGGGTGAAAGGTCGTGAGGTCTGGAGACAGAACATGTCCGACGTGACTGCCTCCAAAGTATGGTACCCTAGCAACTAGTACTTGCCTCATCCATGTCAAAGGGCAGCCACACCCACTTCTCATCTTCAAACTCTTGTACACCACGGCCTCCTGTACCCTCTCCATGCTCCCTGTGTCCAAGATCCGACTGCGACACGCGGAATGCATCCCACTATCACGCGTCTCACACGGAGTGAACTAGGGGGCACAGTCGCCACTACCCGCATCGCAACACCGCGTCTCTCGACCTCCTGCACCTCAACGCCTGGAATGATAGCTGCAGTGCCTCTCAGATCCGTCGAAAACTGGATTTAGCAAGGTCAAGAGGCTTTACCAGAAATTTCTCAACCGAGGCGAGCCTTCTGCGGATGATGCTAGACGTCGCGCACCCAAGACAGTACCAACGACGGATCCGGGCTTCACTGCAGCTTAGTACAGAATATCCATTGTACTAAATAGTTTTGTTCTCGTGCAGGAAACTCCGTTGTTCGCCCAAGAGTCGTTCACTCTGGTGAGCAGCCAAGACCCACAATGGAAGGAGCACTAGCCGCCGTTTGACAGCTGCTTCTTCCCGTAGCCTGGTTCAACACCGGCCCTACTTTCCCGTCAGAGTTCAAGCTGCATCGTGCAGGCTGACGGTCTTATCGCGAGCTGCCTGCTGGGACCTTCCATGGAAATCTTGTCAGTGCACTGCGGCCGTCGAGACGGGATTGCTGGGTACTGGCGACTGTGCCTCTTGCCTGAGCATCCCCCCCAACATCAGCGGTAAGTGGAACTCACAAACGCATCGTATATTGACTCCAGTGTCCGTGTCGTGACACAACAGTAGTACAGCGGAGTGACACGAGAAATCCTGTCCCTCCGACCTGCACCTTCATCGTAGCAACGAAGCGGACAGCTCTGTGACCCCTCACTGCAGCGGACCTACGTCCGTCACCGAATACAGCTCACTGCATACGTGTACCCACCGTACCCACCTCGAACGCGCCGTGCCTATATTGAAGGCTCCACCCGTACCTCACTACGATCACACGAATATGCTCGGTAGCTCGGTCCCGACGGCCACATACACTCTCGGCTGGAATAGGGCAGTACTGTTGAGCCGCCTGGGCTTAGCACCTGCCGTTAGGCTGGGTTGGATAGCTAGCAGGCGCAGCTTGATGTACTATGGCGGAGCCTCATGCAGGCTAGATGCTGTGTCTTCCAGCGCATGTAGTGATACAGCCACGTCGTAGTACAAGGGGCATGGTCTGTCCAAGGATAGAAGTCTTGAGTTGTCTGCTGTAGTGACTGCGATTCGTGTCTCGCCATGGCAGCCCTCTCAGTCTTCAGTTAGAGGATCGGCGCCGTTAGATCGGACTATCGCTTGAGCTCCTCGCTCTGCCATGCCCAAATGAAGCTATGTAGCGGCAAGAATGCATCACGCCACACATACAATACTGAGAGCCTTGGCTACCAGCTGCGCCGGGGTTCGCTGTCACTGCTACATACATCGAAGACACGCATCGTGCTGAAGGTGCTGAGAGTATCATGGCTCATATGCGTGTTGATATGGAAGCGAGGCAGCACCGGACTCCCAAGTACCCATAATAAGGGGGTCGCGACTGGTGTGTGATTGCCAGGCACCATGGCGCCAGACAATACAGTTGCAAAGATACTGTAGTGATCATAGACTTGCATGTGTATAATGTTTCTCATAACACAATCTAGTAATGGATAGTATTTGACACAAAAATATCTCTGACTCCTGGAACTCCCTACTCCCTGAACGTGTATAGGTCATGTTGGTTTCCACTAGCTTCCATCTCATGTACGATCAAGCTGTCTCAAGCTTGTTCTTTGTTTGTAGCAAACACACTGCCTCATATAGGCAGTGTTCCGTCCCACATGGGATGAGTCAATCTATTCGTCACAGGTTCCATCAGGTCACGACATTGTCTCTTACATTGGTGAACGCGACCACGTCACACAGCAACATCACATCATTTGGAGTCAAGTCATGAAGTACGAGAAGAGTTTAGACAATCCCTCTTCGTTCGATTTTCGGACTCCGGTCGGCCTATGTCGTTTCAGAGGTAGCAAGACATCACTCTAACTACATCAGTCGACGCTCCAAATCCCTCAAATCGAGACGTTGCCCAATTGTAGGTGGACATAGTGTCCTGGTATCATTGATATCATAACCACAGCCAAGCGTAGATGTCGAGAGATCACAACGTATCTCCTTCCTGTGCTACGAAAGCTTCCATGTCATAATTCATACTCCCTATTCCCCGTTTTTTGTCTTTTTGCATTCGTGCTGGACCGAATCCGACCAACTACCCTTGCATACCAAAGCCAGGCTCAATACCAGCCTGCTTCAATGCCTTTGCTTTCCGCGAATCCACTTCTTTCTTGTCTGCTTTTTGAGCCGCTGCCAACGCGCGGACTTGATCCTCTTCGGCGAACATTGCGCCTTTGGGGTGCTCTTCTCGGTCGAGGTCGACGGTCGCGCATATGGTGACGTTCTCGCCTCGTACAGTCATTACGCCAGGGAGCTTGACGTCGTGTATTAGCCAGCGGGGAACCGAGGGGTCGGAGGAGGGCGATGCGTCGGGGTTACGGGCTGCTATTCGCTCATAGCATTCTGTGAGGACGAGGTTGGCTGGGGAGTGTTAGCTGGGGAGTCGATGACGCGGGGAGGGTTGGTGGTGGACGCACCGAACTGGTCGTAAGAGCGTAATATGCCAATGTACTCTTTCTCGTCACGGAGTAGTACGTCGACCTTTTCTGAATTGTGTCAACGTCATGTGCTCTCAGACTGCGGGCCAGGTGTTTCCATACTGTCCACCATATCTAATAGCATTGCCGATGTCAGGAAGGCTTGCGGTGGGAGGTCGACAGGTAGGACCGGGGGCGGCGCCTGCCCTCGTGCACCACCGAGCATGTTCGCATGTTGTGGTGGTGGAGTGGCACTGTATACGCCTTCGTAACCTGGGGCGGTATTAGCACTGTGCCCTTGTGCGTGTCGGCCGGGGTGGTGGCTTACCATTAGACGGCGAGGGCCCGCGTGGAATCTCGGAGCCTGGGGGTTGCAGCTGTCCAGGTGCTTGCATGGAGCGCTGGAGCATGGCATTGAAGTCCGGGCCCATGTTTGGGGCACCTCCAGCGGCCGCGGGGCCTCGTGGTGGGCGTTGGTTGTAGGCCATTGTCGGGGGTTGCGCAGTGAGGCGGGCGAGAGTAGTAACGTTGGTTTAGCGGTTGCGAGGGGGCGATGGATATGGAGCTATCATGGCGAGGCGGCGCATATAGATTTCTACCTTCACTCGCGTGTTTACGTCGTTGACGCTGCCCGAAATCGCCAACCACTCACGTATGCCAAGCCCCGCTAGTCATGAACTTTGGATGGGAAAGACGTCCTGCATCCACCCTCACATCTTTCGCTCCTTTTCATACCTCGGTATACGACATACGAAGATTCCCTTCTCAATCTCGGGGTTGTCGGAAAGGACCATACCCATCCGTTGACTCCAGTAGAGGAGCTTCTGTGCAACCCTCAACATCCAGATCAATGTATTCTTGAGCAATCATCGCTTTCTGTCAATCGCTTAATGAACATTTGAATTCAATCTATTGGAGCTCACACACTCTCGCTTTTATACTCGGTACGCGCCGTGCGGCGGAAAGCTAGACAACACAAGCGGACGAATCGGAGCTGAGCTACGCCGCAGGAGAGCTTCATCAAGGGCGACCCCGAGTCTTGCATTTGCGCTTTCTTTCCTGAGTTCTATCGTGGGATTGCTCTTTTTAGCCATACGCAGTCAACTCCTAACATCCTTTTATGCCACAGTACCCTTCATTCCAACCCATCGGTAGACTATTTCCCTTCGTTTCGTCTACGATGGCTGCCATAGTTCGAGTCTTCAAAAGCAAATGGATCACACCGCCGAAAGAGGTCCATGAAGATTATACTGGAAGGAACATAATTGTGACAGGTGCAACTTCGGGTATCGGAGTAGAGGCCGTCTTCAAGTTTGCCAAATTGGGTGCCGCCAAAGTCATCATCGCCGCACGCGATATGAAGAAAGGCGAATCCACGAAATCAGCTCTAGAGGCTCGGCTCGGACGCCATGATCAGTTGGAGGTCTGGGAACTGGACATGATGTCTTACGACAGCGTAGAAGCTTTTGCCAACCGCGCAAACGAGCTTGACCGTCTCGACATAGCTGTGTTGAACGCTGGTGCTTGGCGAGTCAAGTTCATTCAGTCCAGATATGGTTGGGAAGAAGACATCCAGGTTAACACACTGTCTACAACACTCTTGGCCATCTTACTTCTACCGAAATTGAAGCAATCTCAAGAACACACCGGTAAAATTCCGGTTCTTGAGTTTGTCAACTCTGGTCTACATCAGCGTGCCGTTGTCCCGCCAGAAGTCCGGCAGAAGGCCAGCGTACTCGACTACTATAACAGAGAAGAAAACCACAAGGAGGGTAACCAGTACAAATTCTCTAAGGTTCTTCTTATGTACGCTACGAAGAAGCTTGCAGAAGAGATATCTTCAGGCGATGTGATCATTACCAGCATCTGTCCTGGTTGGGTCAATACCGACTTGGGACGCGATCGCTTCTTTCCTGGCGTGCACTTATTGGCGTTCTTCTTCATCTTCTTGTTCATGAGATCTGCGGCTTCTGCGGCGAACACGGTGTTGAGTGGGACCACCCAGGGGGAGAGTGTACATGGCAGATTTTGGAAAGATGACAGCATTCAGCCAACTCCACCGAGCCTGGCAGGACCTGAGATGAAGGAGTTAAGTGCAAGGATCTGGGATGAGGTTATTGATGCACTGGAGAAGGATGTGCCACATATTAGCAAGGCGGTTGATGCGGCATTGTCGAAGAGTTGAATAGTTGCAAATCCAGAATCTAGAATGAAAGATGACAAGCTTATCGAGAAACTTGATTCGTAGCTGTTCACAAGAACGGTGAATCGCAAAAGACGGTGCCGTGTTGCCAGACCTAGCTGGCATGTGGCTGACTAGAGGCGCAGCACCTCCACACATGACGTACCGGCGGCCGAATTGGAGCATCATAGTGCCTAGAACATGCATCTGGTGCCTCGAAGCCTACGCATTCCCTCCTCCAGCAAAGTAAGACAGCTGCAGCCCGCTGAGTCGGCTGAATGCCCAAATCGCCCTTCCGCCGCAAGCCCGCCGCCCACGGTCCCTCGTCCCTCCTCCGCTTCCTGTTCCCCCGGACTCGAGCACGCGCGCGCCTTCACCTCTCCAAGTTCCGCCACGACACGCTCCACTCCCTCAAGGACAGTGCCAAGTCCCGCATCTACAACTACATTGTCTACCGCCAGGCTGCCAAGGCGCAAGGGAAGCAGGGTATTGTCCAGCGCCTACGAGGCTACACGTGGAGGTTGAGTGGCCGCAGCTATCTCGAAGATGCTGCGAGGCTGCGACGACAGCAGATAGCCACGCGTCCGGGAACTACACCTTCCGGTAACAGAGCAATGACGTACCAAGAGAGCTACGAGGCGCGAGAGCCTGGGACGCGGAGACGGAAGCTGGCGGGCTATCTCAAGGCCGCGAACGAACTCCGGCAGACATACACACAGCAATATGCCTCCAACTGGAGTAGCAAGGAGGCACAATATGACTACGAGGACGACACACCAGGCGGATTCCCAGATGCCGCCGTCGTGAGAAGCGGGCGGGAGGAAATGATACTCTTTCCCAGCTACGCTCGGCGACACATAAAGCGGAAGCCAGAGGCACAGCCAGGGACTATCCAAGAAACGGAAGGCCAGGGGCGTGACGTTCGAGACTCGGCCGGTGCCGGTGATGCCGAGTTCTGGAAGCAGCAGTGGAACAATTACGAGGACGACAACGCAGTCGTCGACGTCGATGTTCGTGGCTGGATATACTCGCCACACAGGGGGCAGATGTCACGGAAGCAGAGGCTGTTCATTGGCCTCGCACGGCAGCTTGTTGGAGTACAGGCGCCTGCTACACCCAACAGTTCGTCTGCAGACAGTAGCCGCGACACGAGTCCACAACGGCATGGCTTCCGCGAACGAGCCCACCTGCGCGACGCCCAGCAGGACGAAGCCATCGCAGCTAAAGAGGCTGAGGAGATTCTACGGAAGGGAGAGAGAGAGGCAAGAGCAGCAGCACGCGGTGCTTACAGCGAAAGGCCAGCCAAGGACATGGATGACACGCAGCTATACCGAACAGAGAGTGGGAGCAGCACGCGCCCGAACAACGGCAGGACCCATCAGCTGGCCCACAGCACATCTAAAGATTCCATGAGAAGCGAAGCCAGTATTCAACCCTTGCAGAAGAGAGGATCATGGAACCAGCCTTCCGAGATGAGCCCATCAGAACTCGCTGAAGCCAACGCTCGGTTGATGGCTCGACTGCGACACTTCCTGGCGATACCCATGGCCAATACGCCCATCAGCGTCTTCTTCTATAATGAGAACATATCGAAACAGAGGACTGTATACACCGACGCCGCAGGCCATTTCAGTATGAGCGCGGCTTTGGACTTTGTGCCTACCCATGTTCGCATCTTAGCATCAGACAAGCTCTCGGCAACCGAGGAAGTAATTGTCACTGCATCGCAGGGTATCAGCATAATCAGTGACATTGACGACACGATAAAGCACTCCGCTATTGGCAGCGGCGCTCGTGAGATCTTCCGCAACGTCTTCATCCGCGACCTAGTCGATCTCACCATCGATGGTGTCAGAGAGTGGTACAATAGAATGGCGGAGCTGGGAGTCAAGTTCCACTATGTCTCCAACTCGCCCTGGCAGCTGTATCCTGTCATCTCAAAATACTTCGAATTAGCTGGACTGCCACCAGGTTCATTCCACCTGAAGCAGTACAGCGGTATGCTTCAGGGCATATTCGAGCCCGTGGCCGAGAGAAAGAAGGTTACTCTGGATAAGATCGCAAGAGATTTCCCAGAACGGAACTTTATCCTAATCGGAGATAGTGGTGAGGCTGATCTGGAGGTTTACACGGATTTTGTGCTTGAAAATCCTGGGCGAGTTGTCGCCGTCTTCATCCGCGATGTCACGACGACAGATAGCCCGGGCTTCTTCGATCCTTCCACCGGGTCCTCACCAGGCGACCGCTCTTCATCAACACCATCGACCCAACGTAACAACGGTGGCAGCTCGGCAGCTTCGACTAAAGCTCGACCGCCATCTGAAGAACATGACCCTGAACTGAAAGCCGCTATTGCAGCCTCATTACGTGACATGGATGCGGAGAACAACAAGCGCCCAAGTTTGTCTGATAGGAAGCCGTCCCCGCGCACCACATCACAACAAGTTTCCTCCAACAATCTGATCGACTTATCCTCCGACGATGAGGTAGACGATTCACCCGCGCTGAGAAAGTTCAATAGCGAAACCCAAGCGGACAACGAAAGGCATCGTTCATCAGTCGCATCGGACGCGAGTATGAAGTCTGCGCCACCGCCTCCCAAAAAGCCAGTTGCTTTAAGGAGCCCGTCGACTGAATCTTTCAATGTCCAATCCACTTCCAACCCACGACCGCAGCCACCCAAGCCCCGGAAAACCTCAGCGGCCGTCACTCAATCCAGTCCGCTCGCGCAGCAAGTCAGTGCTTCAAGAAGTGCAAACACATCAGCGCTCTCCAAACCTCCAGTGGGACCCAAGCCATCTATGAGCTACCAGAGTCAGGCATCAGAAGATCAACAGTCATATGCTGGTATGGCTCGCGATAAGCTATGGTCTGTCTACAGTAATCTGCCCGCGCTGCGTTCAACAGAGGAGCCTGGCTCCAATGCGTCCAGTCTGGATGTGACTGGTGTTCGCAAAGGCCCGCCTCCACCCCCGCCTCGACGCGGAAACCGCGATACAGCTGCAAGCGCAGCGTCATACGTAAGCTCCAAAGCATCGTCGGCGTGGCAGAACGCACCTTCTATACCCTACCACAGTCGCCCTCAGGCCATCTCTGCGCAAACATCTCAGCCATTCTCCACCGCAGCGCCCCGACAAGGCATCAATCGCACCAGCACCGGTAGTACCCTAGGTGGTGCTGCAGGCGAACAATACGGGACGAAGAAGGAGCAGCTTTGGCGGCAAAGATGGGCACATGCAGAACAGGTTCTATCAGAGCAGGGTGTAATACTGCGAGGATGGAGGGTAGGCAGCGACATCATGGGCGAGGCGGAAAGAATAGTCAAAGATGCAGATAAGAAGTTCAAGCGCGACGAGCAGCGAGGCAAGGCGGCAAACGGGAACAACGGCAAAGCGAGCGAACAGAAATGAATGCGGCGTCACCTTGGACAATTGTATGTGGCGTTGTTAGCGGGGGTTGTTGTTGTCACTACACACATGAACATAACGAACCGTATTATTATTATCCTATTCTCGCCCGCAACCCACCTCTCCCTCTAACCAAAACTCGCAAATTCCACAAACCCATCTCCCCCGTATTAAGCGTTGCGCCACACGAGTTTTAAACTTCCCAAGTTCATCTCCCGCCAAGGAATCGATAGTGTGCGTCCTCGCCCCTGGAAACGAGGGGTGTGGTACCACGGCATCTGCGCACGTGCATATTGTTGTTGTGAGATGGCTGGACTGCCATGTTCAGGAGTCGTGATGTCATGCCCTTGCTATTGCGTATCAAAACAAAAAGACGCTAAACCTGCCGGTACATAGTTGGCAACACGCGACCGCGACGCGCTTTTGACTTGGTTTCTTGTTATCCTTGCTGCTTTACTCTATACCAAATCCTAAACCGGGATTCATATTGCGAAAATGTATGTAGTCGTGCGGTTTCTCTTATTGCAATGGCGATTGCGCGCTGGCATTGGCGCATCGCGCGTACTTTACGATACGAACCGTTGCGCTTTTGCGGGTCGTAGCTGTTTTCTTTGGGGTGTGAAGTGACGATTCTGGTCGTGCCGCGTTGGCTGACAATGTTTGAATGTACGCTGACTGTGGTTGTGCACTTTATAGGCCGTCTAGCAAAGGAAAGCCAACGGATCCTAAGTTGAGGGAGAAGGTCAAGGAGGAGGTTAAAAACGAGACGAACAAGGACGGTGGTGGTAAGGGGCAATGGAGTGCTTGGAAGGTGAGTCGCGTGGCTTTCTTTCTTAATATCCAAACAGGATGCGATAGTGCGTATTGCTTCGTACATAGACTGACGCGACATACAGGCTAGCAAGCTCTCGAAAGAGTACGAAAAGAAGGGCGGCGGCTACGAAAACGAAGCCGGAAGCAAGAATGAGCCAAAGAAGGGCGCCCCGCAGCAAAAGTCCAAGGGCAAGAAGAAGGCTGAAGAGAAAGAAGAGAAGGAGGAGGAGACAAAGGAGGCGGCGGACGAAGAGCCTGCGAAAGAAGAAGACAAGGAGAACGAGAAGAAGGAGGATGCCGAAGAGGAGAAGGAAAACAACGACGTTGAGGAAGAGGAAGAAGACAAGGAGGCCCCTCCAAGCGCGCAGAAGCCTAAGGCCAACACTGGTGCAAAGAAGACTGGAGCTAAAGCTGGTGCTAAAGGTGCGGCAAAGTCTGGTGAGGCAAAGAAGGCAGCGGCTCCGAAGGCGAAAGCCAAGGAGAGGACGGAAGGAACCAGGAAGTCATCGAGGGTTGCCGGCGCTGGAAAGCGGAAGACGTATGATGAGGATGAGAATGACGGTGAGGAGGAGGAGAAGAAGCCAACCAAGGCTAAGGCGAAGAAGAGCAAGTCTTGATGATGCGACGCTCTGCGACGCTTCTTTGGATTACTGGTGCGTATCGTGACCGATTGTGCCCAGGTGTAGTCACAGGATCAATCAATCATGTCCGCAACCAATATGGATGGATCAGTGGGTATAACAGGTAGTTTAGTTATTTCCGAGATATTTACTAAACGCTTTCTCCATACGATCTCGTGCCTTCTACTACTAAGCTTACTCGCGCTTGCCTGACCGGAAACTGCAGGCCCGACGAGATAATCCGCACCGATGAGTCTAGTGTCGACCTCACCACACATTACGCCCCGGCCCCAGTGCCCAACGTGGCTGCAGATCGCCAAGATCTCACACCGATGATGTTGCTGACTGCGAGGTAATCGGACTCTCCGAGTAAGTCACGATGTTGACGGAGTCAACTTTACCGCCGGGCAAGCGCACCCCGATCCTGGAATACAATTTTTGAGTCAGCGCTCCTCCTGCATGCACTTTAGGTCTGTTGGTCTTACCAAAGCTCGAACCCAGCGGGATACAGAGTGCCTGCTTGCGCCGTCGTCAAGGGCGTGTAACAAATACAGTCTCGTTCCTGGAACCCGGCTTTCGAAACCACTGTGGCACCACAAGGCGTAGCGGATACTCCCTAGGTCGGATTAGCCAAACAGCTTTCTCCGTGGTTCAATTGCGCCTACCAGCGACGCATCGTCGAGATCTGCTAGCTGGGTGCAATAGCTCACGAGTCTTTCTGCATGGCCTCTTTTCACCAATAACATGGTGCCACTGCTACAGTACTGAGACGCATTCTGCCCTCCAGATACCTACTCTTCGCTGTCGGCAATCTCCGCCTGGATATTTCGATGACGCATACTCCAGTTTTGCTGGACGCGTGACTGCGTTATAGATCTTTACGGCTTCAGCACTTTGATCTCTTCCAAGGTCAGGAGGTCCAGCCGGTCAACGATGCCAGCGAGCACGTTTTTGGGTTGAAGTCGATGAGTATATGCTGAACCCGATTTGAGCTAAATACTGCACACTCCTACGATACCCCTCTGAGTCGGAATGGCCAACTTAAAAGACGCTCGCAATGCTTCGTAGACGTATTCAGACTCGTCTTCTTCAATGCTATCCTCTGCTACGAGTACTACGTATGCAGGATATCTTATAGCTTTCTCGTACTGAACGAAGTAGGAAGCTATAGTTTCTGATGGGAAATCTCGATAACAGAGGCGTTGGAATTGGAAAGAAGGTGATGAAAGAAACGCAGCAGCCGCAACAAGTGAGATTCGGCCCAGGTCATCTGAGGTGGCTAGCCGTACGCCTTCTACAGATGGAAAAAGCATGATTTCGCTCGCTTAGTAGTACTGCAACATGGACTTCGATTCGGAGACACATGTCGAAGTTCAATTGTGCGGGTCATTTAAAGCGATGCAATATCGCGACAAAGTACGCCTGCTCTCTGGAAAGAGAGAGACTGCCAACATTTCTTTGTTCGCAATAAGCATGCATTGCCATTACGCATAGTCGCGCATAAAGCAAGTTGAGACATTACACCCGGATTTGTATGTTGCTGTAGTATGGTACCGGCGATTGGGTGGGATAACATCCCGTTGTCGAAAAGGTAGGCCGCCCGTCTTACAAGCGGATTCCTTTCTGGAAGAACGTCGATACGACTTCTGGTGGCGAGCTTAGTCGATGTCACAACGAAGGAGACAAAACCGAGTGCAGCGACCATGAACAAAATCAAACGGCGGCCCAGATGCAGGAGTAAGATGAAGGTTGTGTGTCCGTCTGGTACGCGAGGCAGGTTCGCGGGGAGATGCAGCCCTAACGGAAGCTAAGACATGCATGGCACCGACACAATGAACCAGTGTGGTTCTCGACCTGCCTCTGGTGCCTCCTCTCGAGCCCTCCTACCATCGAACTCGAAAAGCAACGATCTACCGTACCGGCTTTGCTTTACGGCCCAGGCCGCCATCGTTCCCTGCTACACGGATCTTGCTCATTACCTTTAAGCGAATGAGCGACACGCACCCTCGCGACACGTCCTCTGAAGTTGTACGCAGTCAGCCGCAGCCCTCCATGTCTACCACCAGTTCGCAGTACAGGAATGCCGCCCAAACTCCCTCGCACTACCAGGACTTCCCCATAAGCAACCACGACCCTTTGTATGGTTTGGGAGCATGGCAGCCGCATCATGCTCCCAGCCACGACTCGTACGCTGCCGGCCCGTCAACGGCGCAACTCCTACAGTACCCGGCAGTCGGAGTAGACTCCGCTGGTACGCATCCGCAGTCTGCTTCAACGGCTTGGTCTGGTTACGTCAGACAAGCACCTCTGGAGTGGCAGCACGCTGGACCTGAGCAGAACTACACGACGCGCTCGACGGTCCCCTATTGTGATGCTGAGGGGAGCGCGTCCGTGCCGCACCAAATTCCCACAACAATCCCGCGCCACTATCAGCACCAACACCAGTACCAGCACCAGCCGGCGCTAAATCTGGGGCACACATTGCCCTTGGCTCCTCAGGACCATGCCTTCCGAAGTACAGAGCGCTTTCACGAGCTGCGCGTTTCGTCAGTAAGTGCACACAAGCAATGTTGTGCCCTGCACTAGGTTCGCGACTAAATCATCTAGGAGTCCCCCGCCAATACGGTAGACCCACCATACTCGAATCATGCTCAGAAGCTACCTCCAGTCCCACGACTCTCGCATTCACAGCCGCAGACTGTTCTGTTGCACACGAACACCGCGCCACAGGTGCCATTGCATCATGATGTCGCGTGGGAAGCGCATGAGCAGTACGCCGGTCAGGTTGGCGACGCTGTTACCACTCGAGCTCCAGATACGAGGCACCATAGCTCAACTACTATCCCGTGGCCCATGAACCCAGTTGAAACTTCCAATGCGCCTGCTGTTTACGAGCCTCCTCAAACCATGCCACGGGAATGGACCGTCGCAGAAGCACCATCTGATCCTGAAATCTACGCACAGCAGACGGCCCCAGTCGACCAGATGGACCGCACGACCACCCATTTGATGGCTCAGCATAGGCCACCGCCAAAGAAGAAAGCAGCCAAGGTTCCTTCGTCTTTCGTCGAGCGACAAGAGAAGCTGAAGGTGTCCAAGCGGAAGGGGCCTCTCCAGGAAAGGCAGAGGGAGAAGACCCATACCATGCGCAAGACCAAGCGTATATGTGTTCGTTGTAGATTCTACAAGTCAGGGGTATGCATATCCACCACCAAAGCAGCGTATGACTAACGCATGTAGTGTGACGAAGGAGACCCATGTGAAAAGTGTGAGAAGATCACAGGCCACGCCCGGTCCTTTCGCGAGCCATGTTATAGGGAGCATCTTGAAGACACAAGCCTCATACGTCGGTGTAAGTTATCGCAATACCTCCTACTCGTTTGCTCCTCACAATTAGACAGGCAATGGCCGTGAGCACCAAGAGGAAGCCGAGTTCCTTGGTTACGATTGGATACATAACAGTCAGCTCTACGAGATGGAGATTATCTGGAACCTTCCTGGCTACGGCCCTATACCGAACGCACAGCCTTTGCGTATTGCGTTCCGACCTTATAGCCCAACACGCGGCACGATTGATGTCGCAACATCCGTCTGGTCTAACAGGGATGGACAGGTCCCGTCCGTCGAACAACCGGCCTACGCGATATACGATACTGCGAACCTCGTCCTGGCCTACGAACGTTACTTCTCCAGCCTCCAACCCGCGATCGAAGAGTGGATATTTGCCCGCATTCGGCAGGACGAAGTCGCCTATCATACCTACCAAGAGGTGGTACGCATGCGAAGGGTAACTGGAAGCAAGGTCCTCGATCTCGCAATGCGACTCCAATGTCTCTCCGTCGTCTCCCAGGGATACGGCTCCGTCTTCTCAGAGGGCATACCTGGCATACGCGAGTACGATTATCGAAGGCTCGGTCGTAGCGACTACGAAGCCTACGACCGCAACTCATGCGATCGCCCACTTCCTGGCGCAATAACCCACCAAATGGATGTCGCGGCTGTGAAATATCTCCGCAAACTGGAAAAGCTCTTCGTCAAGGAACTAGTAGCGCTGATTTTCAGGCCCAGAATCAAACCTTGGTACGAACTCTTCCTGGCATTCTATGTCATCTTCTGGAATCTCGAATACATCCATCATGGTGCGCAAGACTACATCAAGTCAAAAAATGGTACAGTAAGTGAACGTCATTCGTCTCGTAATTTTTTCTTTACAGATTCTGATCGCTCTAACTCTGCTAGTTGCTCGAGAACCAGGTCAGCAACGTGGTGACCACTCAGATCAAGAAGTGGGAATTCGCCTTTCCAGTGCTGCTGTACCATTGGCGCTGCATTCTTCGTGGCTACTCCCCTTTCAAATTAGCACGCGACAACCCGGACGAGCTCCGGGAGCGAGGTCATATTGATGCAGAAGGCTTTGCATATGTCACAGCCATTGCCAATCTATTTGACCGAAATAAGCCCGGTAAGTTGGTACCGTAGATCCGCTACTGCAAGTCATTTGTTAACCAGCGTAGATCGCTTCCAGCCGCCGCTTACCGGGTTTGCCGCAACGCACTGGTCCACCTCTAGTGAATGGATCGTAAAGCTTTTCAAGGAAGCTGGAGCGTAACGTTCGCGTTCGCTTCGTGTCATGTTGTTCCACCTTGTTTTTTGATACCCAGTCATTGAAATGGCAATCGCGAGTCATTTTCTAGCCTGTTTTGCGAATCGCGATTTTGTGGAGAGAAATGGGAGGCAAATGTGATGAATATTCTGAGTACGTCTACCGTCAGTCTAGTCAACAGGGGAATACTAAACGAGGCCAAAAAAGAAAAGTACAATCGCAAAAAAACGCCGTCATTCTCTGTCATCGTTGCGAAATGCATGCCAAGTTTGCTCACGTCGTTTCTGCCAGCATTTGCGCCTTTGGAAGAACTTTACTCCGTGAGGTTAGTACTCACGGAAGTAGCTAGCCGTGGCTCTCGCGTCCACTAATGTTGCGCCATGGGTCGGTGTCAAAGACAGGGAGACTCTGAGGTCTACCGGGAGTGAACGGGTCGTCAAAGTTGTTGCGGCAGCTAGCCGGCTTCTCCCAAGCATTTGTGGAGTCGCGGAGGAACATGCGCAACAGGTGCCGGGTACTAGCCTGGCCATCAACACCGCGGTATGCTGCACGGGCGTGCATGACATTCAGATTATGGAGAAACTGGATGTCGCCTTGTTCCCGGTCAACCCTCGTGCAGAAGCGCTTGGCTAGCTCTTCAACGACGTGCATTGCGTGCAGCTGCTTCCGAGTGACCCTGGGCATGCTAGGGTCACGCGGGATGGTATCAGTACCAAGCAGTGGGGCCTTGACTAGCTGGCACATGGGTTTTCCCTTGGAGAAGAAGAGGGTAGGTCCTAATTCTAGGTAAGGCGCCCCATCCCTGAAGTTAATTAGCAAAACTTCTAGACATCAGATAGGACGAAAGCCGTGCTTACTTTTGCTTTAGCTCGAAGGGCCAGTTCGGCTCGGCCATGGTCTCGAGCACCTCTGGGTCCTTTTCAAGAAGCTCGTTATAGATTCTCGAAAAGCTCGCAACGAACTGCTCGCCGCCAGCATCTGGCCCACCGTCGTTGCGCACGTACAGAGCAATGACGTCGCCGGAGAAGCGGTCACTGTGAAAATCCATAGCTACAGTGTTTTTGGACCCAGCGAGACCGATGTTTTTGCAGTCTTCTGGAACTGTCTTCCTGGTGGCGTCGAGAACGTGACTGAGTGTTTGATTCGCGTAGGCATCAGTTGCTCGTTCTGGGCAAACGTAGGAGCATATGCCCGCAAAAGCAATTACGGCCTCTTCGTCATTCAGGTAAGCACTATCCAGACCCCGGAGGACGACCACGTTTGTGCCGTGGTGAAGCTCTTTGCTGATTGACGAGAGCTTACTAGCCAGTTCTGGGTTACCGAGATCAAAGGTTTTCTGATCTATCTTTGTCCGCGGAAGACCAGTGACTAAAGGTGTGAATCAGCATCGGCTCGTTGAAGGAAAGTTGAGGGATCTGGGTTTGCACTCACGCTTGAACTTGATAATGGCTGCCCTGATATTCCGAATATCGCATTCGGTAAGTTTGACTACGTACTCAGCTGGCTTGAGTCCATCACCTTGCCATACCATAGGCCCTACTACTGCCGGCACAAGTTGATCAGGGGAGCTGAAATTGGAAGAGGAATTGCTATGGAGACTCTCAAACGAGGACCTCGCGCTGAGTGCGGGAGAAGACATGTTTGATTGGTCGATTGTAGTGGATTCCGCTCCAAGGTCAGACTCAAGATGAACAGATTATTTCGCTTTGTATTGATTGGGTGTACGTGACGTTGTGAATGCGAATGTAGTGGTGGTTGTAGTGATGCGATTCAGGAGTGAGCCTGAGGTGGGCGTTCTTATACCTCATTCTCGATCAATCGGATTCTTTTGAAGACGTTTATCGCGTAATCGCACGCCGCCGTTGTCACGGTGTGTGAATTTAGAGCTGACGGAGCCGCACTTGCTAACGAGAGACTGACATTCAACTTTAGCTCGCCGGAACATTGGAACAGGGCCGAAAACCATTCCCGCTAGCATGGACGGTTCGAGTGGGTGGGTGACCATGTACCTATGTGTATCCTCCCCGTCTTATCGTGATTCGTCACCTGATGCCCTTTACGCTAATGCCTGCCAGTCAGCCGCCATGGCAGTGGGAAAATCCTCACTGAACCACCGTGCGACTCGGGTCTAACGCTCACGGGGGAAGCAGCGGAACGCATCGAAGCTTCGCCACGCGGGCGAAACTGGGTCTCCTGCCCTCCACCAACTTATCCACTGTGCTCAGGGTGGTTGCTTACTGGCAGGACGTTCTTCGGGGGAATCATGTGGCCCCATGGTTGCCACACAATCCACCGTAATGATCGTACTCAGAGTTCGCGTAGGCGGCATGCCGGTGGCAGAAAGCGAGGCGATGCGATGCGCAGATCCTCGGAACGTGGCTCTGATATTGACAGATGTTTGTGCCGCACATCGAACCTTCGACATGTGGATGCAATCCTTTCAAGCAGTCCGCCCGATGAAGAGCAAGGACTTCCCTATTCTCATCAGCCCTATGCGGTCGAACCTATAACTGTCAGGGATTCCAGGTAGTCACTTTCCGCCCAGTTCGTGCATATGCAGGTGAGTTGAAACGGACAGGCCTCATATCTTCATGAGATCTTATCTCCATCTTCCACTCGTGCGATGCCAGCATGTGATCGAGCATACTAATTTCTGATCTGAGACCTAATCCGCGATTTGCGAGGCCGATGGCGAGGATCCATGTACCTTATTATTGAGCCTTTGTCCTTCACCGTGCTTAAGGCACAGCCATAATCCAACACAACCACTACCACTCACGACAGCGCCCGTGGCTCACCGGAATCGTCTGCAGCAGGATGACATGCCAGCGTAATGCTTGCAATATGGGCAGCGGCGGTCGAGGCCTCGGTGCAGCTCCAATGCGAGACGCCTCGGAACCGCCCATCTGCGACCACGTTGAGCTGCGCAGCATTCAGGTATGTCAGGGTCTGCCGATATATGCGCTTTATTGGCTCAATAAGAAAAGATGCGCTACCCAGCTTTCAGCTTACGAGGGTGGCTTCTTGCTATTGGTGTAGCCAGCATATACAGTGTTTCCACCCCTCCGATGCCAACACATCCTAGTGTCGCATCCGTTGGGCCCGGGGTTGCAGTGGTCGAATCCCGAGGGATGTTACCTATACCGTGTACGTATAGCAAGAACTGCCGGTAATCGCGCCATGAGCTGTCCACCTCTGATTGAGCGAATGGTGCCGCTATCCACTGATAGCAAAGGTATCCATCGCTCTCTTACTCACCGAGTCTATGATTACCGGGAATACTTAGGCACACTAGATGGCTCTCCCGCATCGAGATCTAGCTCACCGCTAAGGACAACTTGACTTTGCCTGTTACGAATATGACACATCCGCTGCCGGGCCGTTCGCTTGTCACACGCAGGTAGTGAAGAGCTAGAGCGCTTGGAGAACAGCGTACTGCACTATGCATGACTAGGTCGGCGTCTTTACCGTAGCCTCATGTCGTGCCTTGGTGAGGACACTGCGACTGCACGTCGGTTTAGTGCCGTATGTTGTATGGGTGATCAGCCGGGTCCACTGAGGCCTTCATAACGGGCGTACATATTGCATGAATATGCGGCTAGTCGGCCCATCGTATGTTGGGGGGACTACGCAATTCATAGCGCCTAGCTCGCTTCTAAATACAATACGATCATTCGTACTCAGCCTTGCGGCGCCTCTCAGACTTGATCGCTTGCACCATGTCAAAATTGAGCGGCTCGGCTATAACAGCTCATGGAAAGTCGGCAAGAGGCATGATGTCGTTTTACAGACACGGGGCCCTGTAATCACACACGTGGGTCGTGTGGGGTCGGATCAATCTCTGTATCGGGCCTGCGCGTGTTTCTCAAGGGAATTTCACCCTAGGTTCGCAGGTGGCTTTCGTGCCACGGACGGACAGGTGAGCGTAAACGTCGTCGGGGCGTTGATAGCGCTCCAGACTTGGCTATGCTTTCCGTGAGCACCTGGAACATCCAAACGCTATATTGACGGCATACTGAAAGATGTCTGGGTTGACGAGTGTCTATTCGCAATTCCAGCTAAGCTGAGTGAACTTGACGCCAGAACTGACCTTTTATGGCAAATTGTTTGATGGGCGGCATTTCGGGATTGTTGTGATACACGTGAGCTTAGATGGTGTACTACTAAATTGCGGCACAGGCTGAAGAGGGAGTTCCGCCCATCCTCACTAGCGTGTAGTCGATGAAGTAGAGGCATGTTCCGTGCTTGGAATGTGGCGCATGGGCCGGACAAGGTCGCCCAGCCCTGAGCAAGTATCTCTCGGTAATTCGTAAGGGTCGGCTGTGAGCACTGGTGGTCAGCGCGTGACAGCAAACCATGGCCACCTCCAAAGCGCCTGAGTCCTGCACAAAAACAAAAGTCTTTCTTTCAAAGGGATACTTTCCGTGCAGGATTTGGTATGACATCAGGATTTGTGGCGTGATGGCGTTCAATATAGCGGGCTCGAATGCTGGGCTCTTCCAATGCGTGATAGATCCCATCTCCCCCGAGCTTATCCACGCTCCAAATTCTAGAGCATTCGCCGACATGTGTTGACGAAGAGCCGCGACTGTGGTCATGAATGAATCGTTGGTACTCGTAGATGCGGGAGATCTTACCGCGCCCAGCGGATGAGATCCCGAAGGAATGTCGTTGAGCTGGTGGGCCAGTACGGGAGGGCTTGCTCGCTTGAGGCTGTACGGGCATGGAGAAGAGCGCACATGGCGACAGTGACGACACAGTGTTCCAATGAGGAGGTCTCGTCCATGGCGCCTGATCGGTGAGCGAAAGCTGGAGTGAAACACGAGGTGGGGACAGGGATGCCGGATCGAGACCTTCGCAATTTTCGTGATGCTTCATGGCTGCGCCCGCTGCCGACGATCCACGAAGAGTAGTGAGGAAAGAAGTTAGGTTTTCTTACAGGTGTAGCGACCTCGCCCTTGCTCACTTTCGCTGTTAGCTCATCGCTAGTGGCCAATAAGCTCCAAAGGGTCGAAATCATTTGCGTTTGCAGGGATTAGAGCACATGGCCTTTTCATGCACGTCACAGGCGCTACAGACACTAGCTCCGGCGCATACCCTTAAATATTATGAGGATTGCCCCAACGCGCCTGCGCTTCCACTCTCAGAAAAGGGAGGCGCGAACGCCTGGTTCGGCCATCTCTTCTCTACGACACAACACACGATACTTACCAGATCGTCTTGCTCTGTGCGCCAACTGCTACGAGTGCATACGCAGCACCCACATGAGAATCTTAGTATGATTTGCTGTCAACGTTTGGTGTTTCCAATGAAGAGTTAGTGTCTGGTAAACCAGGATAGGGAAGGTTGTCGCTTGCGTCTCCTCAACTGAAACAGTAGACTATGATTATACTTTCAGGAACAATTCACCACGCAAGTTGCAAGGGAGTGTGGGCATGAGCCAATCCCGACGTGGATTCGAATATCATTCCTCTCTTTGGGCCATCACATTCGCTGTCTCGGTGTGTCTGAGCCCACCTCGGCTTCATGTCGGCTTAAGCGCAGCATGCAGAAGTACACATGCTATTGTGACTGTGGACCTGGTCCAATATCTGAAGACCTGATGTGGGTATGCGTCGGTCTGGACCGCACTGGATCTTCGAAGAGGAATGAGGGGGTGTGAGGAACGAAGGGGATGTCGGACGTACGGCGGAGTTGGGTGAAACGCGTGTAGGATGCAACTGCCCTGGACCCTACCAATCTCTCCGGACGCGTACGACTACTGTACCTAGGTGTGCATTCAATAGTCATGACCAGTATGTTGGCATCGCCAAGTGCGCCTTGCTGCCGATAACCACACGGACCGAGATGAATCTCCCCAAAGATGACTTGTACAGGGAACAGGGACTCATAACTACGTAGTAAACGCAAGTTAGTATCTAAGCAGTCAAGATCTAGCTTCATTGTCATCTATTTGTCTCAGTATGATTACTCATATCTCTCGCAAAGGCGGTTGAAAGTGATCACTATCTATCACGACAAACGCCATAGACTCAATGGGTGTTTGCTCGATGTCGGATGACGTCATATCCATCCCAGGCTGGCTTCAAGCATAAAAAGCATCTGTATTGAGTATCTAGCCGCAGTCAGCCCTGCAAATGTTTGGATCCACCATACTGCTGAAATTGATTCTCACTCTACCTAGCAACATTCTAGGACACAACGGAAATAACGATCGATCTTCAATGTAGACGTCACTACCCGCATATGATGCAATCATGGAACATCAAGTGCCTACCAGCGAAAGAACAGCAACAGAAACAAGTACAATACACTGAAGGAAAGTCAGACCGCAGAAAGTCCTTCAGAAAATTCTACAATGTCGCCCTCAGGTCTTGCCATTCTCATTGGAGCCGGCCCTGCTACTGTAAGTCGTCTCGCAAACCCCCGCACCGGATACGCGCGTCTAATGAAACACGTCTAGGGCACAGGAATAGCACGCATCCTATCATCTCCAGCTCATGGCAACCTCGCCGTCGCACTTTTAGCCCGACGCCCCGAAAACATCCAAAGCGTCATCTCCAAAGTTCGTTCCGCCAACGAAAACGCGATTCTCGAAGCCTTTCCGAGCGACACTTCGAAAGCATCTCTAGAGAAGGCGTTCGCAGATATCAAAGAACACGAGAGCTTCAAAGGCCTGAAGCTGAAGCTGGCGATATACAGCATCAAGCATTCGAGCAAGAAGCCGTTTTTGGAAGAGACGAGGGAAGACTTTGAGGATAGTCTGGAGACTTATGTTGGTGGGGCGTTTACGTTTGCGCAGGAGAGTTTGAAGAGGTTCTTTGTGGATCATGGGGAGAAGGGCTTGATGGATGGGTCGGAGAAGAAGGGCGTAAGCAATACCCTCACATCGATTTTGTTACATGCAGAACTAATCTTGAATAACAGACACTTATCTTTACTGGCACGCTCGGCGCGCTTCGATGCAGTGCTCAATTCGCTGCATATGGTGCTGGGCGCGCCTCTGTCCGTCAATTGGCGCAGACATTGGCTCGCGAGATGAGCGAGAAGGGCGTGCATGTCGTACACACGATTGGTAATGGTGCAATTGCAGATGAAGACGGAGAAGATCAAAAGGTGGGTAAGAAGATGAGCGCTGATGCTGTTGGTGAGACGTACCTGTGGCTGCATCAACAGAAGCCTTGCTTGTGGACGCATGAGCTGGACATGAGGCCCGCTTGTGAGAAGTTTTAGATGTGGCAGACAGGGCGATATTGAAGATGCAAATAGAAGAGATTACGCAAAAAGATCTATACCACTGGGTGGAAATGAGTATACATATAAGAAATCCGCAACGAAAGACACGCAAACAACAAAAACCCTACACGATACCCCGATAGCGATCAACGCCATTATCCACACGCCAGATCGCCACTATCCGTTACGCTATCATCGCGCCGGCGGCTGTGTCCAACGCCCCAACATCTGTCCAAGCGCCCAATTCCACTCATTAACAAAAGCATTAGTGAGCTGCGTGATCTGCTCCGCAGACGGCATCTGACCCGCCCACATAGCCGGTTGAGACGCCTGGTAACGCGCGTAGTACGGCAGTAGCTGGCTGTTTAGAGATCAGCAAACGAAACCGCAACCTAGGGTATGTTTTGGTAGACGTACTCGGTTTGTATCTTGTTCAAAACCAACCAACACAGATTCCATGAGCGGTTGCTTGCGGGGTCGGCGTAGACGCGCCTTTTCGCTTCGTCTAGGCAGTCGGAACTACGGGTTGGTTAGCCCATGCATGGAGAGATGCTTTGGAATGTTTCGAATGCATGTTAGGCGGCTTACCTGAAAGGATAGTTCCTAGTCAGTCCGCGTAGTTCGGTCAACAAGCTATGCGACTCGACATAGTACTTCCCTGATATGTACAGTCAGTCTTCATTTGCAGCAGCTAATCGCGTGAACACTTACAAGCCGCCGTCATCGGCTCACTGCAGTCCGGTGTACCGAGCTTTGCAAAAGCCTGCTCGACGCGAACGAGCTCAACGATGGTGTTGAACTGGTGAGATCGGAGCGCTTGAATGTATTGTGCCTTTTCGGCCTGTTGGTCTTTGGTGTCAGCGAGATTCATGTTGATTTTCATACAGCAGGCTGAAACGCACAGAGGTGATCTTTCGGCTGGAAGACATCCTGGCAAACTGTGGCACCCGGTATTTGCGTGCGTGTGGGGTGTAGTATTCGCTGTAGTTGGTTTTGGTGGAAGATGTAGGATCGATGGACATGTAATAACGATTCAAAACTGAACTTGACTGAATGGGTGGTATCGAAGTTGATACAGGAGGTATGGGAAGTACAACTTGCTCTGATGAGTTCATCGTTTGTTGGAGACAGTTGTAGTATTATATAGATGTGTTCTAGTGCTGGTGTTGTCGTAATGAATGGTATCTTCGGCTATAGTAATCTCATAACCAATGTGTATGTGTCGTGAGGCATGCACAGAGAGCCACATGCAAGAAGATTCTACGAGGATGAGTTCAGCTCTCGACGCCATATCGTCATAAGAACTCGTAGGCTTCCCAAACATCAGTGCCAAGGATGAAGAAGGCAGCTGCGAACTGTCGAATGCGGAAGCATCAAGTAAGATTATGAATCCTTTGAGGAGATATGAGATCAAACTCGTCCTTTCGGAGGTATCCGTGCGTTCATTGTAGGTTCGATAGTGTTAACATTGCCTTCTTGATAGGTCAGTCTGCTTGCAGCAATGAGTCTGCAGCACATCAAACACAAGTGCTGTGGTCAGATTATGGGTCATGAACAAGGGCTATGTGACTTGGTCATGGCTCTCGCGGCCCGGTTGATCTGAGTCCAAGAGGCTTTGTAGGGATACCGTGATGATACCAGCCACATATCTGATGCCGAGAGTTTGGATTGATCGTCCATTGGTCGTGTATTCGACATGTTTCCAACCGTGTAAGCAAGAGTGGATCGCTTGGACCCTAGCAGCGTCTTCAACGCCATCATCGCCCGTTGCACATTGCGGAGGATATCTTGTATCAGGTAAGTGCCATGCTGAGGACCAACGCGCAGCATGGTAGCTGAGCTCGATGTTGTCGATGTGTGGAGTGGGTAGGTAGGCGCAATCCTAACGGAGCGTGCGAAACATGTTCGGAAAGTCAACTTTCCGTTGTATATCTGGGTGTTTCGACACAACGAGAAAGAAGCTAAACAGAACGGGATGTGAGGCTGAGGCTGATAACTCCGTCTCTGTGCTGACGATGGAAGGGTTCATGGCACCCGGATTTGTCCGCTGTGGCTGGTTAGCTCGTGGCTGAGCATCGCACCTTCCCCAACTTCACCGCTATTACCTGGCAATCCTCACGCAATTCACGATTGCTAACATCACTGCTCCCGGATAGCTTTCTTTCCGAGGGGTACCTGACAAAGCCGCTGCTGAGCAACTGCGCGTTTAGCATTCCGCGTTCCACGTTTGGAAATGTCCTTGGACGTCATGATCCCCGATCATTCATCTCATCAGCCACGCGCATAAGCACAACGTTGACCCTCACTCTCGGGACCCGCGATCCTGGAAAGGGTATAACAATCTAGAAAAACCGATGTCGGTTCTTTGAACCCATTGGTAATTATCGCTCAGCACACGCAGATTGGCCCTTGAGGTTGCATGGGCTTGTCAGCAGCCCTACGTCAGAAAGAGCCTCAAGATATGAGCTAGTGTCCTTGTGCGCACGATTGGAAGCCGCCATGTTAAACTTCTGATGATCGACCGCTAAAAGGTATGCTTGTTGCATCTCACCTCATTCCGCAGGGCTGCCTTGGATCTACCACAAGGCTCAGAATTGGACCACATGCTCCAATAAAGAAAGGTCAAGGTGCCAAGTGCTAGATGCGGTCGACTGTCTGGCCCCATACACATAACATTCCAGCTGGGTTTTATCAGCCCCCGTCTTGTCAGTGCTTCACTATTTCCTTTACATCTTGCGACTGGAAGGTTTCTAGACTGGTTAGCTCCTGGCCGCTCACGCATATCGACAAGGTAGCAGTTATTGGGCACGAAAGCTTTCGAATGGACCGGACGGCCCCCGATGATTCGTAAAGATTCATGTTGATCGATTCTTTTACATGAGCAGGCAGAAGTCTTTCAACTCCGCCGTGCGTTTCAAGTCGTCATCCACCTTTCACACCCAGACACCTAGACTCGAGTGGTCTATATGCTCAGCGCCATGATGGAGTTTACGATGTCGTTGTCGTTCTCCTTGAGGGCCTTGACGGCCTTCTTCCGCGAGACGCTGGCCTGTTGCATGACGAGCTCGATGTCCTTGGCCTCAAGACCAGAGTCGTCGATCTCCTCATCGTCGTCCTCCTCTTCCTCCTCCTCGTCCTTCTTGTCCTCGACAGCCTTGCCCTTGCCCTTGCCGGATTCGTCGCCGTGGTCGTGACCGGCGTGGTCGTGGGACGCGGACTCGGCCTGAGCGAGCTGCTGGGCGGCCGAGGCCTGGGCCTGGGAGTTCAAGTCCTCGATCTTGGCCTCACCGAAGATGCTGGTGCGGGGTCAGCAGGCGGCTTGTGCCATTGAGGGGCAGCGACTCACATCCAGGTGTTGCTTGAGGGCGACTTGTAGACATCCGGCTGGTTGATAACAAACAGAATCTAGCAGGCGTGTTAGTCTGGTACTCGGATTGTGTCTCTAGCCTGCCCGCATCTCTTGTTTGTTGACTGCAGCTCCCCCCACCAATTGCGCGGAAGGCACTCACGTTCTTCGGTCGGCGGAGAGTGACGCGTGTGATGCCATCGATGTGCTTCAGGCCGAGCTTAGCAATGGCCTTGCGAGCCTTCTTCTCGTTGCGGGAGTGGACAGCGACGGAAGAGCCCGCGGGCACGTTGACCTCGCCCTCTTCGCCCTCAGACTCGTCACTCGACTCATCCTCCTCGATCTGGACGTTCTTCTTCTCGGGCTCGTCGGGGAGCTCTTCAATGCGGGGGTTGGCCATTTTGTCGGTTTGTGGGTGACGGCAGGTGTTGGTGGTGCTGCAATATCGAGCGTCGCGGAGTTGGGGTCGGAGCTTCCAAAAATGATTTGTGGGCGGTTTAGCGCGGGCAGCTCTCACAATTGGCAATGACGCCCATCACAAGCAATAATTACTCTCACGGCCTATGTCGCGCATTTCACAGGAACGGGCATTTCAAAGGGGGTATCAAATTGCAATTCTAGTTGCACTGTTCGTGTGTGTTCATGAATTTGTGGATTGAACTCTCTTGCTACATGTGGAATGCATGCGAGAGCCGAGTAAACCGTTCCCAAACCGAATTGCACCGTGCCAAACATTGGACTTATTCGCCCTTAACCAGGTCTTGAATTTTTGAATGCCTTTGAGGTCGCCTTCGGAATGCTCATGAAATGCACGTCATGCCTCTATGCCACCTGCATGCAGCGATCACCACAACGCCTGTCTCCCGACAGCATCGAGACTACCTATGCCTTTGCGCTGGCGCGGATCTTGGCGAAGGTCTTCTGAACCTCGAAACGAGCCTGTGTTGCTGTTAGTACCATGTTCTCCGTTCACATCCGGTGCACCGCGTCTAGTCCGAATGGTCGCATTCGACGACACAGGTGCAAGGCCAAACATACCTGCTTCCTCATCTTCATGACCTTGAAGCGCTCAAAGTCGTTGAGTCCCCGCCTCTTCTGGATAGCCGCACGCTTCTTGGCCCATGAGCTCTCGTCGAACTTTTGCTGGACCTTGTGCTCCTCCCACTTCTTCGCGACGTGGCCGACACCCGAGGCACGGGGAAGCTTGGGGATGACGATGGGTGTAAGGGAGAGTTTCGCAAGCGCGACTTCCTGGCGAGGGACAGGGGCCTTCTCGGAGGGACCTTGGAGGAGGACCTATGTCTCTGTGAGTCGCTGAACAGCACCCGGAGCGCGGATTTTCCATACACGCTTGTGGTCGATGATCTCGACGATGACAGCGAGGCGGCCCTCGAATGCACCCTCGTTGAAGAGGACCACGCGGCCGACCTCTACCAGCCTCCAGGCACTCGTTGTAATTTCGGCGTCACCCATTTCGTCGATATGTGCTGCAAGAGAATGTTAGACGGGGAGACACGTGGAGGATTGCAGCGTCGAAAGCGTACCGGTCGGAAATAGGAGTCGGTGTTGATGTTCTTGTCGGGAGTAAGTAATGTCGGTCGGTGGAGGTTCGAAATTCAGTGTGAGGCCGGGGCCGTGCACAAGCGAAAGGCGCCTTGGCGCTAGCGCCGTCCTTAAAGTTTTCTGCGACCGCGCGACTTCCATCATCTCCTCCAGCACCGCAAGCACCGCAGAAGCACCACGCTCAACTCGACAGCCGTCGCGACTTTATGCAGTTCTCGACGTGGCTCTTACGACCACTTTACTTCGCATCATGCGCTCTGCAGATGTAGACACGATGGACGCGACATGCGCCGAGCTAAACTACTCCAAAGACCCATAGCTACGACCCAACACCCGTAGCTCCACTGGTATGCCTCTCACCTCCACATTCTTCTCCCATCCTAGGATGACATAATTTGCGATTGAGCTCGGCGTCGGAGACCCTCGCCGGGGTCTCTCAACGGCGTCGAAGTCATGACATTCAATTTCTTACATATTCTGAGCTTGCTTTACCCATTCAGCTTCGTCACCGCACCGAGTTTGCGACAAAGGCTGACCAAAACAGACTCTAGGTTCCAAGCCAACAGATGCCCTACATCCGACGTCGCTCTGAGCCTGCTCGTTGCAAATCCATGTCGATATGCGACAGCAGTGCCGTCACTGCATACGGCTATCATGTACAGGTCAGTTCTTACTTTGTTACATTACCGCCCCCATTTCCAATGATTACAACATGCAATAGATAGTATATGATTTCTATGATTACTATTTTATCACCAAGATCACTGAAGGAAACCACAAATACGCTCTGCTTGATAGCGCTTTGTTTCGATACAAGTCACTAACAAGCCTGCAGGTAAATCCTCGTGTGTACGCAAGTACGCTCAACATCGCTGCATGTGCCAACTGCGCGTTCTGTCTTCATGTCCAGCCGTGCTTTCAGCCTCTTTCAATTAAGTTGGCTTATCTGCATTGGTCACGCGGACTCGTGATGAAGGTGACTAGAATCATGAAGAAACAGATCTGCACGATCAAGGCAATCCGCGTAATATGCCAGGCGGGTCGCAAAGGTAAGTGTTATGTAGGCCGTGTTGGCAGGGTATTCGCTCTGCCATGTATCAAATCTAGCTAGTCTCAATAAAAAAAAAGGTCAATCAACAGCTGCACCACCTTCCGTGACTGTCTGCTCTGGCGTCGTCGCTCTCCTTCGTGTGATTTTCCTTCCGTAGTTTCGGTAAAGGTTCATCAACAGCTCCCTCACCACGCCGTTGAATGCTGTCCTTGCGTCAAATTTGCTTCCACCGTATGGGAAGGGAACGATCTTCGTCCAGTCGGCGTTATCTTCAAAGTAAAACTCGAGATCAAATGCGTCCGCATCCTTGAGCATGGTCTTGAGCGTCTCTCCCTTGTGACCGTTAACGTCTGCCCATGCCCACAGTGCAGGGTCGTAGAAATCCAACGTGCCCGACGCCTCTTCGGCGAGGATCTGCGCGTTAAAGAGTAGGTGGCGGATCATGTTGATGTCGCAACCGCAATGTATGACAGCATACTGCAGTAGTTCGGTAGTGATGCCTTTTGGCACACCCAACAGCACAGCGAGCGCTGCCACGGCGTGCTCGTTGCTCTCCTTGATCGCTTCTTTCATGCCCGTCTTCGCCACTTCGCCTGCCATACTACCCTCCCAATCGATCTCTCCATTTAGGCTAACCAAGACATAAAGCAGCGACGCTTTGTCCTCGGTCCAGGGCCCATGCAGCAGCTTCTCTGGTATGTGAAAGCCTTGCGCAAAAGCGAGATGGGGGATCTTGGTAAACTTGAATGGCCATAGTCCATCGAAGTAAGACACTCCAGGGATCGTGACTCCAGTAGCTGCCCAGGCCTTCCCGCGCAACTTGACCATTGCATCTTGTGCGCGCTGCACGTATTTCAGGAAGAAGTCGTAGGTGAAGAAACGACAGGTCAGAATGTCGGACTGAAGTGAGGCATCGCTGGTGATAAGGCGGTCCCGATAGTTGGTGCGGTGATCAACGGTATGGAAAAAGGTCTGCATAGTGAAGCTCATCTCTATGGTGTGTGAGGAGAGTTTTGTGCCAAGATCCCGTGAGCAGCGTGGAAGCGCTGGGTTCATGCTGTAAAGAAAGATCATTTCCAGTAGTTCGGTGGGGAGACCTTGGAGTGTCGGCATGGCGGGCGTAACTTCTTTTTTCCTGTGGGTTGACTTCGTTTTCCGTTGTCGTTTGAGCTGAGATGAGGATGCTAAAGAGTTTTGTGCAGGTATGGAAGTAGGTTTACTTTTGGAGGCAGCAAGTGCTGGGTGTAAGTATTTCCTCTTCTTGCCACGCACGACGATAGGTGTCAGTTCCATCGGCTACTTATGAGCGCCCGTCGTGACCAGGCAGCACTCAAGAGTAAGCCACTTCCGATTGCATGCAGCATGCACAAGGTAGATGGATCGGGAAAGGCTCCGCGTCACCTTTTGGAGATCGCACTCTGCGCCACGTTGAGTGCACGGACCTGATGTGGCTTTGCCGCGGCGTTCCTGGAGCTAGCGTTAGCTTTCCACTCGTCTTCCTGTCGCATAAACAAAAGACCTCGAGGAGATTGACGCACCACGCGCGCGTGCACCACGAACGGAAGAGTGAATTCCCCAACGAACGACGCGACCAAACCGAGGAGATGCAGGTCCACGCAGTACCCGATTCCGAGCGCGCGTTTGATTCGACAGGGAGGAGGCTGCCCTGGGCGCTTGAGTTCGCAGAGTAAGTCATGTTTCACTGCCATTACCGGATGGAGCTTTCTACACAGAACATCCTAGTCATGCGACAAACAAGACTGGAGAGTGGCCTCTTTACGCCTTTCCTCTTCTTTATGCAACCCCAACGCCATGGAACACTTCAACTGGGATTCGCCCATACATTCGCACATACAGCTAACTTTGATCCCCGACAGTCCCGATCAAAATCAACGGCGCGTCCCAGAAGAGAAAGGCCCCTTTGGCAAAGCACGGAAACGCGGCACCTCACGAGCGAAGACACCCTTGGGCGCCAGCAACGCAGCTGACGAAGCGAGACTCTACAACCAGCGCACAGAAGATGACATCTTCAGTCGTTTCAAGGCAGATGAGGATAAGAGGCGCTCGGTATCCGCGCGGCCAGCTGGTGGACTACCACCATCGGCATCGGCACCGAATCTCATAGACGCAAGCAACGGACTGAACAACTCGTTCGCAGCAGGCGCATCAACGAACGCCACTTTCGCACAAGAACCCAAGGAAGTTATACTATACGGCTTTGGCTCCGAGCAGCAATGGGCTGCGATAGCACACTACGAGAAGGTTTCCAACGGGATGATCTACGAAGAATACGACCGCGAGCCACCCAACCCCAGGCTCGGCTATAGTCTAGCAGCGCAACGCTCGACGTACTACCCAAACTTGGAACCGAAATACATGGCCAGGATCAAGACATATCTTGGGGGTGACCACTGGGTTAAGGTGACTTTTGATAGTGCAGAAGCCGCGGAGCGCGCATGTCACTACAGCCCGAAGAACATCCAAGGCTACACAGTTTACGCAGAGATGTACAGAGGGACAGGACCACAAGGTGGTGACCGGCCGTTACGCGCAGAAGGAGGGGGAATGTCACAAATCGCTTCACCCAACACCGTATCTTCAGGCACCCTAGGACCACGCGGCGCGTCTCAGTCTTCCGCAACCGCCTCATCTGCCACAGCGACGGCCTCTCAGCCTGCAGCATTACAAGGACTCGTATCGCAATCAAACGCAGAACCAGCCTGGCTGAGGAGTACGAGCGGTGCTTTCCCAAGCCACCTCGATGATATGCCTGTCGAACCTATGTCTCAACCACGCGAAATGCACCAAGCTCTCGACCCGAATACCGTTCCCGCGCACGCAACCACCACAGCATTGAACCCCCGCTCTCAACGCGCAACCCTCCGGCTCAAGGGCGCAAACGTAAAGCCCGTCGTCTTCCTCCCGCAAGAAAAGGCGTTCCTCCCCGCAAAACCCCGCTGGCAGCAAACATTCGGCTCGCTGCCTGTCATTGGCTGGGTAATTGGCTCAGGACATGGTATCATTGGCGACCATGTACCGAGAAAAGAGGACGGAACTTTTGATGCGAACAATGCAAGTCTCTACTGGCGAGTGTGGTACATGGTGGACAACTGCTTCGGCAGTGACTTTTGTGGGGTCAGGGATGCGGAGTATGATGAGTAGGGATATTTTCAGGCGGGGACATTTTGTGCAAAACCAAAGGGTGTTTGATAAGCATTGGGCGGCGTTTTCGAAATGACAATATAGCGATGTGACTTGTAGTGCTTGGAGGAATTTGGTATCAGATGCATATGTAATGAAATGCGAGTAGCATCCTCAGCGGAATGTATTTCTTCGTGATGTATGATTTGCGGGGTTCTCCAGTTGTGTAAGAGTCTGTGATGTATGTGTCTCGACGTGTTCGCGTCAGAAACAATGAGCAGCGCAGGCGGAATGATGTGAATGGTCAAAATCTAGGGTGCATTTCCACTGTCTGAAACTATTCACAAATACGTAGGTAATACAACCCAGATTGGGTACATCTCGACTACATACAAAGAAGATGCTTAGAGGACGGACAGATCGCCAAACTTCTCCTGCGGGGTTGTTAGCACTTGTACATGGACTGTTCTGAATGCTCCATAAACTTGCCTTGTAGCCGGGAACGGCCCAGCGACCCTTGGAGACGAGCTGCTCGGTACGCTTGTCGATCTCGGGCTGCGCAGCTGCGACCTCGTCCTGTGATATTCGTCAGCCTCTTGTCCCTCACTTGCCCGTGACCGTATATACGTACAACAGTGAGGTCGGCAAATGGCCTGGCATCCTCGATGTTCTTCAGTGTCTTCTGGAGGTCGCTCAACTCCTTGTCGACAACGCTCTTGGTCTGCTCTGCGCTCTGGACGGCCTGGGCCTCGAAAGCCTCAATCGCCTTGATCTGCCTTCCTACATCGTATGTCTGGGGCTTGAAAGCGTTGAACTGCTTCTCGATGTCGTCGATGACGGCCTGGTTCTTGAGGATGCCGCGGTAGTGGTTGAAGTCGACGGTCTGGGACTGCTCGGAGAGAACGGTGACTTTGCGACGCGCATCGTCGTTGCGCTTCTTGAAAGACTGGAGGGCGGCGGCGGTTTGGCCCTTGAGGCCGAGCTGGGTGCCCAGCTTGGTCCAGTCGAGCTTGAGGGCTGCGCTACGCTACAAGAGGGGACATGTTAGTTTTCTTGTTCTGCATTTCGGAGGTGCCATTGCGGGTGGGGGGCTACTGCCGGCGCAGCAATTGGGTATTCGAGAGCTTCGACTGGTGTTCTGGAAGGGGTGTGACGTACTCCGACGGCCATTGTGATGGATTTAGACGGGGATGCGGTGGTTTCGGTTCGGGAGGGTTGATGTCCAAGTTCTTCGCGAGAGCTCGGAACAGCGCCGCCAAGGATCTGGCGCACGGGCCACTCAACTTCCGCCTCGATCGCGGCCATGTTCCCCCAACATTACCTTTCCCATTCACACTTTACACCTTCTTGCTACCTACTCAACCAACAGTCTAAACCCGAACACCTCTCATCGACATGTGGATTCTCGACTGGTAAGCCCCTTGCTATGTACTCATATTGCTTTCTTACTAATCTCGCGCCAGGTGTAAGTTAACTACCCTCCCTCGTTATGTCCAGAACTGGATGGACGTATGGATACGTTTCCGTAGCACGGCAGAGCAAGATCCCTCTAGCACTCTGTCATGGCACTGCTATCGCCTTCCGGTGCCATCGCCTACAACACCACGCAAGGAAACAGCAAAGCCGGGCTTATCACATGCGCATCCACGCTATACCATTACATATGTCCCGAACACCTGCCAGATCAAGCAATGGCTTGCTTGGGGCATCGTTGAACATATGCTGACGTTTTATGACAGTCTGGGATGTTCTGTCCTCGCTTGGACTCATGAACAAGGTAAGCAGGAGCATCGTCTTGACTTCACTACTGAAGCTAACACATCATCACAGCATGCCAAACTCCTCTTCCTCGGACTGTACGCATTATCACATGCCAGCAATTCCAAATACGTATAGCTGACTAGGCTCCAGTGACAATGCAGGAAAGACCACGTATGGCAACCAAACTGGACACGCGAGCTTCCGCTAACACAATTAGGCTTCTGCACATGCTCAAGAACGACAGGGTCGCTGTCCTGTAAGTGAGACGTGGTCTTGTTGTGCAAGTACCGGCTAACATATGCTTCAGCCAGCCGACTCTGCACCCCACTTCCGAAGAGCTCTCGATAGGAAACGTCAAGTTCACAACCTTCGATCTCGGAGGCCACGCACAAGCCCGACGACTATGGCGCGATTACTGTATGTCAACCCTGCCTACTCGCCTTGCATTAGCTGACCTTGTTCCAGTCCCCGAAGTTTCCGGCATCGTCTTCCTTGTTGACGCCAAAGACCACGAGCGTCTCTCCGAGTCGAAAGCCGAGCTCGATGCTCTTCTCGCCATGGAGGAGCTGAAGAACACTCCTTTCGTCGTTCTAGGAAACAAGATCGACCACCCCGATGCCATCTCCGAGGACCAGCTCCGTTCCGCGCTCGGTCTATACCAGACCACCGGTAAGGGCAAGGTACCGCTAGAGGGCATCCGCCCGGTTGAGGTTTTCATGTGCAGTGTGGTCATGAGGCAGGGATACGGAGAGGGTATCAGGTGGTTGAGCCAGTACGTTTAGGCGGATTACTCCGGCAATTATAAGAACGCTAGACGGGCACAAAGCAGCGGGGAGAGCATGTGGCTGCACCTTGGCTCTCTCGATGGAATGAGCTAGATGCAAGTACGTAACATGGCTATCACATGCGTAGTAGATGTACTCTTATGGGCGTTGGCGTTAGCTCTTGGAATAATATCATATTGCACACCAACACTTCTAATACGGTGCAGCGAAGGCTGGGTCGGCCCGAAGCGAGCGAGACCGCTACGTTGGTGCGTAACTCCAGGTGACGCGCGACGATGACTCCATTCCACTAGTATGCGTGATGAACGACAGAAATCATGCATCAAATATAGACACCTATGGTATTCTATTCCAAGATCATAGTTGCTGACAACGGTTTAGGATGATCAAAACGTCACTCATCTTTGCATCTCACTTTCAGGGATCTGGAAAAGCGAATTAGCGATAAGACTGATGGAGGAATACGTACCGACATGGAGATGCTATAACTGTATATCGTAATCAAGCAGTACATATATCAAAGGTCCACCGTTTGGTTGGGTCCGATGCCTCGATTTTGGCACAGTAATCCACGGTACCAGCTCAACCATGAGTGCGATATCATGTGCATAGTACAGATATGTTGTACCATAATTCCGAGAACCAGATATGGAAATCGGGAATGCGGTTCTGGACAGCCAAAAACGTCGATTTAATGAAGCTATCTTGTCTAGGCCTTTTGTGGAAAGAATAAAAGATAGAAGAGTCGGATCACTCCGCTCAATACATCAATATGAGTCACAGAAATGGAGACGCGGTCTTGGGAAGTCAAGAGCGGCAATTGAACGAATCGATCGCGTTTGGACCTTTAAGGAGGCGTCATCTAAAGGCACCAAATTACTATTTGCCAAAGTGAAAGAATGTGTCTCGGAACTGGGAGTGCAAACCTGATAAGTCAACACTGTTGATTGGATGCTTTGATGCTTCAATGCACCCTCGTCTGAGCCTTTTGCGAAAGAAGCTTCAGATTAACGGAATGACGGTATTCGTTATCGGAAAACACAATCTCGAAATTACGATCGTAGCTGCGATAAGCTTTGAGTGTCAACTGGACGAAGTTTTAAATCCCCGTTTCACGATACTTAGGTATGTGTTTCTTTAAAACGATTCCCAAGACTGTATACGGAATCCTGGGCTTTGGTTCAATGGTCAAAGGCGATATCTCCCAGACAATTACATGAAAGACACTTCAAAAGTCGAATTCACAATGTCCATAACAGGAAACCGAGTTCTCTGTTTTGAAAGCAGGTCACTACCCCTTCCCCAGGCGTTCTCGCCACCTCTAAACGGCACAGTCAAAAACAACCCGCTGGTTCGTCGAACAAACCGTCTCGACCAAACTTTGTCCCCGCGGAAAGCCGAAAAACCGAAAAACCGCACCGCCACAGCTAATTCATCTAGCCCTGTCCACATCCTATTAATATCCTTCAAGAACTAAAGAGGATTGGATGATACGCTTGCTAGATGCGCTTGCTGGTAGTGTCAAGACGGCGCAAGCCTCCCAACGACTCTAGTGCATGCACGCGTGTCAATCGATAACGCGGGCTGCAACTTAATCTTTGGTGGGTTGACACGTTGGCGGAGGGATTGAGGGTAGTTAGATGGTTAGGGTGGGCTGTAGCCTGCTGGGTTGGGGTTATGTGGGAAAAAGGGAAGCAGGGACGGTGTGTGTATGCAGGGTGGGTTGGACGACGTTTGTTCATGGTTTTGCTTTTCTTCTCTTTGTTTTCTGTCGTGTATCTTTGTGAGATGTTTTTGCTGAGCTGATGAGCTGTATTTGGGTCATTGGGTGTTGTAGGCCTGTGTGCTATCGTGGGGAACATACATTGGTGCGTGACGTACAGTTGACATCATAATCTCGTACTGTGTACTTCGAAGGATGTACCGTTTTCATAGCCCTTGCTCAAGCAGTGTGCACGTGGGGTATATACATCTTCACCGGCTCTTATGTACGTGCTCTGTACGTGCTCGAGATGCCTGTCAAGACATATGCGTGACACTGCATATTGAGGACTACATGCAGTAGCAAGCGAAAAGCGTACAATCGCCGGTGCAATGCGACGTGACACAGCTAGGATAGAGATCAGCATGCACAAGCAGGGAAATGCGGCTTTGCGGCACTGCGTAGGACATATGTCGTCTGACTTTTCTGCCAGGATGACCGCAGTAGCTTGCGGGGAATTGAGTGATAGGTAAGTTTCTTGGAAAGCGGAGGTAACAGGTAGTTTATAGGAAATGATTTGCGGGGTTGCAGCCCGAGACATGTTGAGTATCACAGTGACAGGGGAAAGATGATGCGTTTGTTGATCAGTTTGTATTAATGTTTTCATCGCATGAGAATGCGGGACTACCTATTGAACTAGCTATATCCGTGGCTTCTTACTCAGAAACAAATATCCAAACACCATGCCGCCTATGCTTTAGCTATGTACATGATGTCGTAGATGCATGCAGTCATCAAGGAACGTTGCAAGGAAATCGTGTTATCCTCCACTACAGCCTTCATTATGTGGTCTTCAAAGCGACCGTGTCCCATAATCATCGCGCGCGCTGAATGGAGCTGAGTTCTCTTACAAGAAAGAGAAGAGAGCGAGGAAACCGGCAGCGAGGGCGCCGATGCTGGCAGTGCCAGTGGAGGCGGCACCAGTGAACTCAGAGAAGGGAGGCATGGTGGAGTTGGCAACTGGGGCAGAGGCCTGGGGCTGACCGTCGGAGATCTGGGTGACAAGAGGAGCGGAAGCCTGGGGCTGGCCGTCGGAGATCTGAGTAACGACGGGGGCGGAAGCCTGGGGCTGGCCATCAGAGATCTGGGTGACGACAGGGGCAGATGCCTGAGGCTGGCCGTCGGAGATCTGGGTAACGACAGCAGGCGAAGAAGCCTGGGGCTGACCGTCAGAGATCTGGGTCACAACGGCGCCGGGGGTGGAAGCCTGGGGTTGACCGTCGGAGATCTGAGTGACAGCTCCGGCAGAGGTAGCCTGGGGCTGGCCATCAGAGATCTGAGAAACGGGGCCAGTCTCCTCGGACATGGTAGCCTGGATGTGGATGGGAATGCACTGGGCACCAGTCGACTGGCTGTACAGGTTGTAGAAGTCTCCAGACAAGCACTGGTAGAAGACAGTGGAGCCCATCAGGGACATGGAGCCGTTGCTGCAGAGACCGAAGCCCTCAGTCTCCTTAGCACCCTCCTGTACGGGTTGGTCGAACTGGAATCTGATAGTATGTTAACACTTGTTGTATATGCCAAAGTCTTCTAGGAGACATACTGGTAGTTGGCAGCGATGTATCCCGTGCGGCCAGCCTGGTCGGTCAACTTGCCGTCCTCGAGGGACAGCTGAAGTGTACCATCAAGCTGACGCCTGACCATCCTGGAGGGAGTGGTGGTGGCATTGACGGTAGTGATGGCGAAGGTGCCGTCGGCGGAAGACGCACACTCAGCGTCGGAGGAGGCCTGGGGGTAGGCAGCAACGGCAGCCACGAGGCCGGCAGCGACGAAGGACTTCATTTTCGGATAATCGGTCGGTTTGGGTGTTGATATTAATGTATAGAGCGTACTTGACAGCGAGGGTAAGTTGCGACGAGAGTAGACTGAGGAGCGAGGTATCAGTCACTTGATATACGAGAGGAAGACTGTCGATGATGCTGGTAACCACGACAACGAGAGTGTGAGATGTTCTGGATAGGTAAGAAACGCGGGAAGGTAAGACAGCTATATACCACTTCCCAGCCGAGTAGTTAGTCTATTCAATCTACCTCATCGAGCATATCACCGCAGATCGGACGTGCACTGAAGCCTCAGCGCTTGAGCCAAGGCCATGGATCAACTCCACGCGTCAATGCAAAGCTACAACCGCCTAGCGTCGACGCTTCTGACGGCTGGAGAAAGAGGCTGGATAGAGATCGCGCGTGCCGTAACGATAAACACCGCGGAGACTTCTGCTACATCATTGGATACCCATTCATCCGACCCCTCAGTTAGTTCCCCACCATTTCACTGAGAATGCGCGTGAACAAAGCCCGTCCCGCCTCTCGTCTAAACTTATCTCAATCCCAGCCCGTGAGTAACTTTTGAACGCGATTGCTGCCATTGCATTGGCTACTCTGACGCAATGTTTCGGGGCTTCTAGTCCATGCATTCTGCCTGTCAATCGACCGGTGACACGCTGCTTAATGCAAATCTCGATGTGTTGAGCTCGGTTTCCGTGATATGCAACGTCTAAGACAGCTGCTCAACCGAAGTCTCGTAACTGCGGGCTTAGGACGATCGCTCCGTGCAGCATCCTAGCGCCTTCCTTAGAGCAATATACGTGCGTTCTGTCGGCCTCGATGTGGAGTGTGGCGGGGCGTCGTTATTCATCAGTTGGGCGTGTCTCATTGGTCAACATGCAGGCGGATCTGCAGGGTGGTGTATGGTGAAAACGTAGCTCGCTCAATCGGACTATTGGAAGGCAAAATGCAAGGATGGCGATGGATGGGATTGGTGTCGAAGTGACGAATGCCCCAATTGATGTCAAAGATCGGTTCCCAATTCGTAACGACGCTTACGTGCGCTAGCGCAACGCTTGTGGGGTACATGTGGCTTTCGCCTTCGCAAGTGCAAGTGTCTTTCAGCCGCCCCAGCCCACCTTCTCCAGTGGAACCGTTGCTTGGGAACGCTTAGGACGGGCTGGGGGAGGCTGGCATGCTGGCCTTGCGGATGCATATCGATAGTGTGCCGCCTATTGCTCGCTGGCTGGCTGGCGGCAGGCTGGCGCATTTGCCTCCGTCGGCTGGTCAACCCTAGAGAACGCTTAGATTGTTGGGTAAGACTGGTTGAATTCGTGGGATTCCTGTACGATGAGAATATGGCATTTGGAAACAATACCACCGCTCTTGGCTACGATGTGAAGATGCAGATATTGCGATGGTAGACATATCTGACATGAGATGCGCATGTATCAGACGTACCATTGACGTCACATACTAATGTCTTCCTCCACCCTCTGTGCTGATTTATCCCGCAATCGTGGCGCTAGGCAGATGCATGTACTCGACAGCTAGCCATCAGTAGTCATTCCCATTGCAGCTTCTCGTGCGGTCAGTGACACGGTGAGGCTTTCCGCGAGTGACGAAAGTAGGTTTGATCATCTGACCCCGCACAGCGCCTGCCTTTCCCAGACACGCATATGTACATCCAACACCGCAACGAGCGTATTACAGGGAACCGAGCCGAAGGGGTCTGTGTTGGTGAGGTTATTCGGCCTCGGCGATCACGATCTCACGATGGATGGACCCTCCACGCTGATCCATGGTACAGTGGCGCGCCAACCGACAATTTAGTCCCCGCAGGGTCCTTTTCTACTTTCATTCGGTATCCTTTGGACTGGTACTCAGAGACAGAACCAACAAAATCCGCCGGACAGTAGCTAGCTGCGCCATGGGTATGCCATGCGTGGGATGCTCATGTACCTGGACCTAGGTAAAGGTTGCTTCGGCATGAATTATCCGGAACCATCGTCATCCGGTGGAGAAGTCTCGGGGTACTCGGCCGCGGTATCTTTCGAGGATCACGAAAGTGCAAGCTTCACATAGGCGTTGTATGATATGAGCGGAGATCTCTTCGGCGCAGTTGTTCCGGCATCGCGTCTTGGACATATACTTGATCACAATGCCTAGGACGCCGACTCAAGTTAGTATGGGACACTGGCGTCAGAGGTACATTGCATACGAGATATGTACCTATGGATTTGGCGACATCCCATGCTAATAGCATTCGGTGGCTGTGTGTACACTTGCCCGTCCCCCGCTATACGCCAGGACACAGGCCGTGGTATCAGCCCCAGTCTTCACTAACAAATCCAACTCTTGTCCAACTTTATCGAAGCTTATTTGCCCTCTCCAGCACGTTTGACACCTCCTGCTACGTCGTTTGCACCTTTCTCAATGCTCGTGGATACATCGGCAAGGCCTCGTGCAACCGGCCGGCCGGCACTGCCTGTGGCACCCTCCACCTAAGCAAAGGCGCTCAGAGTCAGCATAATTTCATTTGTAGTTAGTACAGATCAATCTACCGTTTCCCCCAAGCCTCGTCCAACCGCGCCAACAACCCCTCCTAGGGTGTTTGTAACGCCGCCAACCGTATTGCCTACAGTGGACGTGACAAACTTCACGCCAGAAGTTACACCGCTTTCCTGCTGGCCGATAGGCATATTGACGATTGGTCTTGGAGGTTGGTCGTATTGTTTGTTGGTTTCAGGGTGGTCGCGATGCTAGTTGCCGAAGATAGTAAAGTTTGCTAGATGCCGGCTAAGTGGTAGTGAGCTTCGGTGATAGCCCGTAGCGTCTGTGCTGCGATGGTGCATTTATGATCAATGGATTGACTGACGTCATGGGGCTGCGCAACAGCAGACGCGCGGTGCACGTTGGAAATCCTGCATCTTGCAACCGCCAACCTCTTCCTCGTGATCCCAGGCATGATCGCGACTCGGCCCGTGTCAGATGGCGTTCGCGTGGTCCAGTTGTCGCCCTCTCCGCGATATCTTGCGCAAGTACCAGCCATGAACGCGGCAACCACAGGCGTTGTCCGGGGAAGTTTCACGAACTCCTTATTGGCATAGTTCCGTCCTCGGCATCTGCATCAGAGCTGGCTGGCGCTGCATACACGATCGCCATCGGCCGGCGCGACCATGGATCTCCCTGTTGTTCTGACAGCAGCTGGCAGTCCCATTCCGACGCATGACACCAGGAAAACTTTCCAAAGTTTAGGATCCTGCCACGTCTTTCTGCGCAAGCATGGCCAATGAGACTGGATCTCGGGAAGGCTTTCAAAGAAGCTGCGACGAAGTGGGCGGGCGAGCGCTCCAGACACAGGCGCGCAGGACGCCTGAGCAGTCCGCAAGGCACGGAACGCGAGCTCAAAGGCTTGCTCGAATACCATTGGTAGAACACCATCTAGGCCTCTCAGCAAGTCAGACATATCGTAGAGATACATCAGGCAGCCGGCTTACTTGCGGCCGACACTCATCGCGACCGGTATCATGTTGTCTCCGACTGCAGGGTCTCGTCGGAGCATACGGACGATAAGCACGCGCGCATACTCTCAGGCAATCTGTCCTGTTGCTCACATATCATGAACTGATTTTCACCTCACTAGATCGAATACTCACCTGTAGCTTGTTGCGAAGTTCGTCTATACGTCGATACATCTGGAAACAACGCCAATAGACGATCGAACCAAACCTCGACCGAAATCAATCTCACTCCGATCAACGCAACCACATTGCGCCTTTGACCTCAAATCCTCTACGAATCGCGCGCAAACGTCCAGCATGACGTCCTTATTCCCACACCCTCGCTACGCCGAAGACCAGCCGTATGCGCGCAGCATCCTATACCTGCATGTCATGCGCGCCTCGGCCATGTCATTTTCCTTCTTTTCCCTCCTCCAGTTCCCAGTTTCCATCATCGCAGCACGATCCCGCAAATCCCCGATCGATTACGATGCAATCCTATCTCGCACACTCAGAGCGGCCGGTCGCGGCCTCGTTCTAGGCGCAGCAGCTGGCATGGTCATGACATGGGGCCGCATGAGAGGCCGAGAGGAAATAGAGTGGAAAGACAGGTCATGGAGGATACTGGAGAATCACGGCGAAGTGAAAACAGATTGGGTCACACTTGGCGCGGCTGGGACCGGTGCTGTTGGGGCTCTGATCGCTGCACGGAGCGGCCGGGTGCCGATAACTGTTGGGAATGCCATGCTAGGAGGAGCTGGTGTTGGTATGGGCACTGGAGTGCCGTACATGATCGCGTCATTCGCATCGGGAAGGAAGCCTGCTTAATGACGGGAGATGCGAAACTGGACCATGCCTCTGGTATAGAGTTGACCCACGACGAGGTCTTGGTAACGCCGAAGGCCATATGCTTGCATGCTACCGTCCGGTCTGGGTCACGCTCAACATTCCCTGGTATTCGGGCCATTCGAAGCTGCCACGCGGACCCTAGATCTTCACGCTGCTCCGACACATAGCCACGATTGTAATACATTCGCTCACCATATCAAAGATTCTGGGCCGTCTAGTCATCATGAGTCCAGTTTCGCAGTGCAACATTCTTGAGACGTTGTGCATGCTCTGTTCTAGCTGTGCAGCGTTAAGTCGAAAGTCGAATTTGTAATCTGCGCTGAACAGATCGAATTTATGCATCTCTGGGGGAAATAGAGAACACCGATGAACTGCGTCAAAAGGAATGGTACATTTCGGTATGCATGTGTGCAGGTGCGACATTGTGCGTTCCGGCGGCCAACGTTGCGCTAGCCTCAAAGGTCTTTGAAAGCTTCAACCTTCTACTACGCACTTTTTGAGCTCCGCTCCATGGTCTTGTCTTTTTGTTTTTGCTTGTTTGCGCATCTGCGAGATTACCTGTTCATACATGTCGGTGATTCGGTTTCATGCGTCATTAGTACCTACTCTGTACGGGCAGGCGAATGACCTTGGTCTGACATATTACCAGATGCAAACCTCAGTCCATTACACCATCGCACCCGGAACACTTCTGGACGCGATACTGTGCGCCCAGCAGGCTACTCCGCCAGCCGATGACATCACATAAGCAGGCTTCTTGTGGGCACCAATATACGAGCGCACAGATCGCCGGCAGTTTCCCGTCTGATCTTGTTCGTCCGACTTCCGCTGTCGCAATGCTATTAAATGAAGGTATACAGTATGGCGATCCCAATTGGGCGCTCGGCGGGACGTCAGTGTGACCCTCTGAAACCGTCTTGGGCCGAGTGACCTCCGCCGTCGCATCGAGGGCGCGTTGCCTAAAGCCGTTGTTCTCGAAACATCCCCGGAACGTGATACCTGTTGAACACGCTTGAGCTCCTACAATCTCCACGCATTCACGCAAACTGCTCCACCACGCCGCCTTTACCTCCGAGATCATATTGTCAAAATTGCGCCGTCGCCGTATTCGATCCTCTCGCTTGTAGACATCCCCACAGTCGTGCTGTCCGCTGCTTCGCATTCACTATATATAACGCTCTTCATTGGGCCATGCTCTTTAAGCGGCGGCCCCAGATTCGCTGCAACAGGGATCGGTTACTAGACACGCTGTGATCGGTCCAGGTTCCAGGAAGAATACGTTACACCAAGCCCTCCGTACTAGCGCTGGCGGATGCCCACTTGCGAAAGAACAATTGGCGCCTGCACACAACACCCACTTCTCATGTCTCTGACAGCCACGAACCGGACCGCGCAACAGCCCCCGTTGGACGCGTTCGGCTGCACAGTCTCCGAGATGTTGGAAGCCAGTCACCTCTCCTGTATTGCGCTGCTCGTGTAAGAGAATTAAGTGGGAGGCGGAAAGTGCGATATCCAGACCGTCGCACCATGGAGTACGACCGGCTGGCATAGCGATGACAAGCCTTTTGAGTGGCATGTGTATAGTGCAGCCAGCAAGCACATCCACGTGAGGTTGACCGACGGGAGACTAGACCGTTTGACAAATAGAAGGGCCTCTGCTTAACTTGTTTCTGTAAGTGTTAATATGCAGTAAGTAGCAAATTGCGGGGGACAGTCTTGGGAGACACCCGGCTGTGCCTGCCTTGGGCGCGCGTAGGGGGACAAGGGTTTCGCAGCCCTTGACCTTGTTCCGGGTTTATATGAGGAAGCCCACCCACAAGCAGGGCGAGATGTGGTTTTCGCGATTTCTTCAGGTTTCTGAGAGTAGGTCGTCGAGATGCCTACCTATCCTCTTCAACTCACCTGCCTGGGGGTGATCTACGGCACTCCCCTCTTGGCTTCGATATTCGTTATTCTGAGGATATACACACGGCGGAAGCTAAATTTACGGTTAAGCTGGGGTATGGCGTACAACATCTCCTGCGCGAACCGTACTGACGTGCTGGTACAGATGACTGGCTTATCATACTTCCGTTACTTCTATCCATAGCCCTCATAGGCCCTTCCCATCGACGTACGTACTGATATAAGCGCCGACATTGGCTCTCACTAACCCTGGATAGATGTCAAGATGTGGCATGTTGGCGTACATATCTGGGAGGTGCCGCCGAACGAGATAGAACCAAACTATGACGAGTACTATGCCGTATGTCTAGCCTCATCATGCTACGACGACATAACTAACAGCAGCAGGTTGTCATGGCGTTCAACCTCTTGAACATACCCATATTACCACTCGTCAAAGCGTCGATTATCCTTCTTCTCCTTCGGGCCGGTTCCGTTATTGAATGGCTCAAGCGAGTACTCTACGCCATCTTGGTCTTCACCGTTGGAAGCGCATTGATACCATGGTTTCTATACATCTTCATCTGTCCACCTCTAACTGGTAACACCTGGAAGCCGAGGACTTTCGGCAACCTGCATTGCATGGGCAGACACAAAATGGGCGAGATGTTGATCTGGGTCACATGCGCCAACCTACTTACTGATGTTCTGATCCTCCCGATACCTTTCATCATTGTGCGAAGGATGATGAGTGCTCGATTGAGGTCCCGTTTGGTGGTATTGGTAGTCTTCACTTGCAGTCTCGCGTAAGTCGTGTTAGCTGGGTATGCGATAATAATGGCTAACCTCTTCACAGTGTCACTGGCATCGGCGCAGCAAAGATCTACTTGTCGTATCGCGACCGCCTCTACACTCTGTTCAACCCCGATTGGACCTATCCGATCGACTACTGCATCAACCACATTGAGAACAATGTGGCAATCATCGTAGCCAACATACCGATCCTACGCGGCCTCGTTACACGATGGATCTTCAACTTCCGAACCAAAGCGACGCCTATCGAGCGCGAGTTTTGCGGTGATTGGCAACAACAACAGCAACAGCAACAACAACAACAACCGAGAAAATCTGACGCATCAGACTTCAGCCGCTACACAAGAAAGAACCGCGTGGTACAAAAGATCCTCCCCTGCATCCAGGATGATTTTTCCAGCAGCCTGGCCTCGCGCTCCAAAGGCGACCTCAGCAGTAAGGTGGACTGCCGGCCAGATTTCCCACCTCGAATCTGCACCACAGGCGAACAGCGCTACCAGAAACGAAGTTACTTTCCGCGATCGCGAAGGAATAGCTTGGATCGGTATAGCACGGCCGACTCCTGCGAGAAGGGTGACATCTTAGAGACGGTTAGGAGTGTAGGCAGTTTGGGTTCTGCGCCAACACTCGTGGAGAGTAAAGATGCGTATACAGAGTGGAAAAGCATGGATAGCCCAACGCTCAGCCCGACAACGAGGTTCTCCACTCAGACATTGTGCCCCATTGCGCCGTTGACGCCGGCGAGGTTGCGGGGGATTGAAGATGATGAGGTTGACGATGAGATATACCCATACCCGAGAGCCTTATGATACCATAGCGAATGAACAACATACAATGAATCTTGATATCTGTAATGTCTTGCCGTGTTCACATTCAAAAATCGACTACACACATTCACGGTGATGATGCTGCAAAACTGCAAGACACCACAAACCAACCCGCCCAACTGGTGACCCGAAAAAAATCCTCACGCTCCTCCACCCAACCCCAGACCCCGTCATGTCGGCAGTCACAAATCTGGTACGTACCTACCTTACCACTCCCAAGTCCCGTACGCCCTATCCGAGGGACCTGGGGCTGCCGTCATTTCAATTTCTCGCAAAGTTACGTTACGTTAGCCAGCCAGACGAGCATCCAACCACACCATGGCGGCGCTCAGGCCCGTTTGTCCGCAGGGGTGCGCATTGCGAGCGATGGATCTGGGGTATAACCGTCCAACCCGTCACGGTGTGCCACTTGCCATGTCAAGACGCAATCCGAGCCGTTCCTTTGCCGCAGGGGTGGTGGAGTTGCTGATCATGCTGTCTGTGCGTCAGCGCGTGTCTCGTGTCGTGTCGTGTGTTGCGTCGTGGGTGAGGGGTGGAAGTTGATCGCGGGTGGCGGGGTTGACTGGAAAGGACGGCGTGAGTGCACTGCGATGGCTTTGCAATTGGTTGTTACGCTTCTTGTTTACGTGATGATTGTATTCGTGGAATACATCGCGCCGTGAACTCTTGATCCCAGGCCTATACAACAAGGTCGTCGCCTCGACATACCTAGGTACCCTACAGCCAAGGCAATCCAGATCCAGACAGCCCCAACCCCAAATCCCACTTCTCCATCTCCGGTACACAGGATTCGCGAATCCAGAGTTTTAGTCCTAGTTCTCCCCTCGCCTTCGCAACGGGGAGGTGCATTCGGTTCCTCGTCGCTCATTACGCATTACCCAGATGACGCGGAAACCTTACTCGAAGCAGCAACTCTCGTCCGACTGGAGCTACTGTACAGATCGAGCATACCTAATCCACAACCATCTCAATCGCCGGGCTTGGAGAAAAAGAAGAAATAGAAACAAGACTTTGAGCACGCTGGGCGAAATCTCTCAGCACGCGCGCTCATTTCACGCGTTATGTTGTGCGATAATGCACGCGACGGAAAGGATCTTGCTGCGCGTAAGCGAGAGGTACCAGTAGTAGCAGGAAGGTGTGCGTATCCTCCAGTAAACATCGTCCTCGCACCTCCCTCACCCGTACCCGATCCTTCACCCTCCCACCACACACGAATGCACTCGCCTACACTCCCCTTGCCCTGTGAGCGGCAAAAACCCACCCCTTCCTTGCCCTATTCCCTTTTCCTATCCTCCCATTTTTCCGCCTTTTACTCCGTAACTCGTGACTTTGCCTGCCTGCCTGCCTGCCCACCATTAGTATACCTTATTAGTCTAGCCATATGTCCATGTAATATATCAGGATTTTCGTTAGCGCCCGCCGGTTCAATATGGATAATCTCCCTCTTCGGTGCGGAGCGAAGCGGTGGCGAGCGCATCGCCGGCTGGCGGGGTTACGTGTGATTGCTTTACACAAAGAAAGGCGGAAAACATCTTGTTCGGATGTCATTTGCCTAAATGGATGGGTAGGGGTTGGGGGATGTGGTGATTGGTAGTGGGTGGTGGGAAGTCTGGGTAGGGCGGATACCTACTCAGGAGTGCTTATTGGGGTAAGGACGTATCTGGGAGGTGCACTGTGGGGTTCATGATGGGCGTTCGAGGACGAAGGGCATTTGAGCATGGCAGTATGGCGTGCGCTCGTGATAGGATGGCTTTTGAATATTGGTTAGATCGCATGCTATGAGTGGTCTCTTGAATTTCTCAAGGACGTTTAATGCCTTGGACTTTTCACTTTCCACCAACCATTCTCGTTGCTTCAGTGCACCACCGGTCATGTCTCATGATTTCTTCCTATTGGGTTCACGCCACAATGTACGATTCTTGAGCGAGCACAGAGTAGCTTGTCACTGAAGCTGTAAGTCTTTTGCCGTACAGTATTGCAATAAACGCCCCTGAACAACCCCCCTATGCAATGGCTTAGCCTTACTAGCATACATGTTGACTCCGTCCTGACCAAAGAAGAGTTTACGGGAAGAAAGACGGTACAGTCATAATAACATCACCGGCAACTCCGGCAATGAAGACGTAGTGGAGAGATTAACACGCGCCGTTTGTGGCGCAACATGCAATCCATTTTGATGCGAATATTTTATTGGTAGGGTATCCGTGCATGAGAAACATCCATCATCTGACAAGGCTTGCCAACCAGCGTTCAAAGATGAGCGGACACAAGAGAGATGAGAAAAAAAAAACGTGACGATCGTGAAAGAGGGTTGCCAAAAGCGAAGGGTGACGCACGGCGTCGGCATCGCCGATGCTATATCGATATTAAAGCTAGTATGCCAGCGGCGAAGAAAGCCATAGTAGGGGAACCAGATGTGAGGCTCTGGGCGGCTGAGGCCTCGCCAGCCAGCACCTTGTCGTCATTACGGATGCAGTTTGTCTTGGCTGTAATTTCCGCAGGACAGACTACGCGTTTGAAGTTTGCACTGTGTGACGTTAGTTTATATAATTTGTGTAGCCTGCGGATCCAGATGAGGGCATGTTTACCTAGGGAACGATGCGTCCTTGAACCAATCAAAGCGCCACTCGCAACCGGCTCTCAGGTTCTCGGGTAGCTTTTGGCAGTCTTCGATGGAGCTGACGCCCATCATGAGCTCACCGAAGACGCTTTGGTCCACGCCATACTGCTGGGCGCATGCATTTGTCGATGTTGTGTTACCACCAGGAATCTAGATAATTCAGCTATGCAATCATGATGATGGGTGTTTATTGAAGGCTTACTGCAAGGGAAAACCGGTTTGCGTCGGTTACATCGTAGGCGGTATTCGAGGCTTGTACAATCATGCTCTTGCCGATCAGAGGCTCACTCGTAAAGTCGAGCTGGTAGCATGCGCAGCACCAGGCGCCCTCGATACCTCCGTGAGTAAGTTCGGGTAGGATAAAGGCACCGGCATAGCCATATGAAACAGTGTCGTTGATGGCCCATGGCTGCTGGCTGGAGCACTGAAACGCGGAACCGCCGTTGCAACCAGTGCCGGCAGCAACGTCCGTGGGCTTGTCGTCGGCCGTACACGATTCTACCGGACTCGAGAAATCTGCTTTGCCGTTCCAACCACATGATGGCTTACAGCAGTCCCAGAAGCGAGATGTGACGGCCTCTCCAGTATAGTTGAGATGTGCGCCTCGTGCAAAGACTGCGAAGAGCTCGACGGCGAGGGCGATATTGCGGAGATGTTGCGGCATCATTGCGGAATGAGTGATCTGAAGTCGAAGTAGAAACCGAGTGGCATGGTTTGTTAGCCAGAGTGATCCGCGCGCAGTGCTAGGAAATTGTATTTGAAGGATGCTGAAAAAGAGGGGTCCCTTCTTTAGTCCGGCTGCAAGGAGAGATTAAACTGCTTTCGATACTCGAGGCCGAGAACCATCATGCTGTGCACCGGTGCAGGGGTGGGCGGAGCTTGGGTACTGAAACGGTACCCGGGGCAGTGGCATCTGAGAGGTCAGAGAGCCGCTGTCACAGTTCCCACACGCTGTCAACCTACCCGATGCCTCGACTTGCATTGTCTGGTCTTATAGATTGCCCCTGTCATCGCCTCGTGGTGCATTTTCCCCACACTCTGCACGCAACGTTGTATCGCTCCCCGCAATTCGGCAATCGCGACATCTGCTCGCAAGGTCGCGTAAATGAATGCCGGGGCGGACGCGACAAAACCGAGGAACTTGTACAGCTGGGTTGCCCGTTGTTGTGCTTTATGCTCGCTCTCGTGTTAGACGGTAAGGTTTGCCCAATGTCTCACGCTCCGCCCTGGCCCTTCAGGGCTCATCTCGGCTATTCTCGCGACCGTTCAAAACGAACTTCTCCGCTTCTTGAGCTGCAACCGTTCACACCGCACTGCCCGTGTGACGCAACCTCGAAGGCTGGTAATACTCCGGGCGCTCGGTTCACGTGGCTCTCAAAGAGGTCGAGCACCGTAGCTGAATTGGGAAGCAGACGCGCCCGATTGGCCGCAACTCCAATATCGCTACCAGACTAGAGGCCATACTGGAGCAAGCAACATCTGTTTTGCTAGGATGGTCCAAACTTTGTGTAAACAAGTTGCCAGCATTGCTCCGGCTGAATCAACATCGTCAGCATGGTCGCTGGTCATGCGTAATAGCGCGTTTGTCATATAGCAGTCGCCATCGCCAACATCACTAGACGACGTTCGCAGTTTCGCGATTAGGAAAGGACCGAAGTACGTGGCATAAGTATGGACCGGTTGTTTGGTTGAGAGGGCAAGGCATGAACGTCTTCCATGTCTCCCATCTGCCAAGCCCCCGATACACGAACTCTGCCCCACCTGGCGTTCGTCCAGTCTCCAAAGTCCACTCTGCTGAGACAGCAAACGCTCTGGAATTTGGATACGAGTTGCCGCCTGGGCAGCTCTTACACCCTTGGGGAGGATTCCCGGTGATTGCCGTCGAGATGTGCTCGGTGGATTTTGAAGTCATTATGCTAATTCACCGCTACTAATACATCGTTAACAAGCGTACATGCTCGTAATACCTCCCTAATTATGCAAATTGTGCACATACTCCTCAACGCCGTCGAAATATGCTCGTAACACGAAGAGTCTCGTGTTTGTTCTCCGTCTCTCCTCCTCGAGTCGAGCGCCGCGATGCGCTCAATCACTTCTCAACATGCTCTCCACCAAATCGCCCAACGGTCCCCAGAAGTCCTTGCTCCCACTTGCCAGCCCATGCTCGTCTATGAACAGCACGTAGTGCTTGAAGCTGGTGTTGAGATGGGGCTCCAGGCCTAACTCGATGATGACGGGGTAGTGGTGGCAGTAGATATGTGCGTAAACGCGGTATAGACGCTTGAACATGTTCCTGATGAGAGCTGGAAACGTCTTTGGGAAGGGGACGCCGATGCGCGAGGGGAACATGGACTCGTTGTCGACATTGGACTGTATCCATGCCATGAGGTGTTCGATGTATTCGGGCGCGGGCATCTTGGTAGGCTTCTTGTAGTTCTCGGAGTCTTGCCAAAGGTACTCAAACCTGTCCATGGTCAGCATTGCGCACATGAGTGCTTAGTGTGGACTCACTCGTCGGTCGCTTTCATTTCAGGACAGCTTTGAGGCGAGCAGAACTCTGTGATGGAGCCATAGAGCAGGTTGATCTGGTTGTAGAAGTCGACGACTGTGGTCGCATATCAGCCCGACTCCTTCACTCAATAGAGCTGTCCTCCTACCATTGACAGCTAGCCACTCGTCCTTGTCCTCGCCTTCGGGCAGCTTGACAGCCTTCCTTAGACTGCCGCTACCGAGTGTGGCCTCGGCATACTGCTTCAGCTGCCAGCTGCTGGTGCCTCGATTCTTGGACGGCTTGAACGGTGCGCGAGTTCGCGGGTTGCTAGCGAAAGAAGTCAGCCTGTGTTCGCGGTAGAGAGTCTCCAATCTCAAGCGCGACTTCTCTCCGGCCTTCTGCCGCGGACTCTGGTGTCTCCTTCAGCCGGGCATTCCCCATGTTGCCGCATGGCTCGAATGATACGGTCTTATCGCTATCCATCCGGGTATTTGCGCATCTCCAGCCCCAGCCTCAGGTGCGACAGGCCAGCGACAAAACACGCAATCTCGTCTCGTAGGTCGAAAATCCCCCGGTAGAAGAGCGAAGAGGAAGACGAACATTGTACTTATGAACCCCGACATATCTGCTCTCGATTCGTGCTCTCGTATGGACCGGTACAAATTGCTTGCGTGCGTGCGTGTGTGCTATCTGCTGTCGCGCATTCCGATGGTTAGCCGACAAACTACGGCGGGGCTATGGGATTGAGACAAACCAGGTAGCAACAAGAAGTAGAAGGAGAAGGTAATAAATCGTGAGCGAGCGACAAGAAGAGGTTAATAGAGAAGGGGAGAGAGTCAATGACGTTGGATGAGTTGGATTGGGCGAGGGGTGTTTGGACAGGACCCCACAATCAACAATCGCGACCGCCGCAACCACCTGCGCACCGCTTCGGCCTCGACCGCGCTAACAACTTGATAAACCCACGCAATTGGCCCACTATCATCTGTTATATCTGCTTTTTCGTACTGACCGCCTCGAGCGACGGTGGAACAGATGAGAGACGAAATGCCTTTGGCTTCGCGCTGGGCATGCTGTCTCCCCTATGAGCTGGACCTTGTCGCAATGACTCTCACCAGTGCACCACACAAATAAACTCAAGGAGGCAAGCTAGAGAATAAAAGAAGATATCTTCATTGTTTTGTAAGGTCTACTCTAGGTCTACTCTAGGTCTAGGATATACGCTGAAAACTTCCACCGCTGATGATTACCACTCCATACCAACACATCCTGTGTCGGTCCTCACTTGCTAAAGTATGGGTCTTGCTCAAAATAGTCGCCTTTGTCACGACCACGTCCATTGCGACGACCGTTCTGCGTCTGCGGTCTTGAGTCGGAGCCACCGTCGGTCATTGTTTCAAATTCGTCCGGTTCATAGTCCTGCATGCCGGTCTTGATACGCTGGAGCTGACCAGCAACGTAGTGGTGGAGACGATCTTCCATTGCCGACTTCTGGTCAAGGGCTGCTTGGTCCAGTACACCGACTGAGTTCTTGCGTTTGATCGGGCTTGTAGCATCTTCTTCCTCGCCGTTGGTTGAAGTTTCACCCCAGTCACTTCGGAAGCCTATGCTACGGCTCGTAGAAGACCGGCGGAGTGTCTGGCGCTTCGCTGGCTTGCCTGCCGTAGTGAACACATCGTCAAAGTAATGGTCCGCAGCGCCTGTAGGTGTGCGCGGCGTTTGTGGGAGACGGCAAGTCATGCTGCACGTCGTTAGTCAAAGTACTATACCCAACGTCGTTAAACTTACCCAGTGTCATGAATCATCTTCGCAATCAAACCAGTCCAGCCGCACTGATGTGTCGCTCCCAACCCGCGGCCGGTATCGCCATCGAAGAACTCGTGGTACCACATGTAATCTTTCCAGTGCGGGTCAAAGTCGAGCATTTGGTTCCCGTCATTGATGGCCCTTCTACCGTCATCTCCGCGAGCAAACAAATGCTGAAGACGATGCTGAATCTCCTCTGCAACGTGACCGAGATGCATGTAGTCACCTGATCCCGTGGGGCATTCTACCTTCAGATCGTTGCCGTAGTAGAGATGGAATCTCTGGCAAGATTCGATAAGGAGGAAGTTGACGGCTAACCAGATGGGACCTCGCCAGTTGCTGTTGCCACCAAAGAGGCCGCTGTCCGAGTCACCGGGAAGGTAAGCTACCTCGTACTTCTGGCCATTGACGTCCATGCTATAGGGATGATCCTTGTGGTATTTTGAAAGCGATCGGATACCGTGGTCAGCGAAGAACTCATCCTCGTCCAACATTCTCTTCATTATCCGCTTCAGTCGGTCTTCGTTGACAAGTGACAGAAGCAAGCGGTTGCCCTGACCACGTTTGGAGAGCGTATGGATGTTGCGCTTCGAAGTTTCGGGACGGTGAGCAATGAACCATTCAACCCGCTTCTTGAAGCTGGGTAGGCGGTTGATAACCTCCGGTTCCAGCGTCATGGTAGAGTACAGAGGAATGAGACCGACCAGAGAACGGACGGGCATCTGATGGCACCACGGACCACCCCAAGAGATGGCATCATAGTAGAACCCGTCTTCCTCGTTCCACAAAGGCTTCGACTCGCCATCGCTGCGGAATTGCATAGCGTCGCTGATCATCAAAAAGTGCTCGAAGAACTTGGAGGCCATGTCTTCGTAGATGCGTCGTCGCTTGGCGAGCTCAAGGCAGATGTTCAGCATGTTCAGGCAGTAGAAGCCCATCCAGCCTGTACTGTCGGCCTGCTCCAGGGTACCACCGGTCGGCAACGGGTCCGAACGGTTGAAGAGACCAATATTGTCGAGACCCAGGAAACCACCTTCGAAGATGTTCTTTCCGTCAGCGTCTTTTCGGTTGACCCACCACGTAAAATTCAGCAAAAGCTTCTGGAATACGCGCTCGAGGCAGTCAAAGTCCTCACGTCCGTACATCTTGCGCTCAATCTTGAAGACCCGGAATAGCGACCAGGCATGTACTGGAGGGTTCACGTCGCCAAAGTTCCACTCGTATGCCGGCAGCTGCCCGTTCGGGTGCATGTACCACTCACGTGTGAAGAGGTCGAGCTGCTTCTTGGCGAAGTCGGGGTCGATCATGGCGAGTGTGATACAGTGAAAAGCACTGTCCCATGCAGCGAAGAAGGGGTATTCCCAAGAGTCGGGCATGGACAAAATATCATCCAGGTACATATGCTTCCACTCCTTGTTGCGTATAGCCTTGCGACCAGGTGGTGGAGGAGGCATACCAGGGTCGCCGTTAGCCCACTGGTCCCAGATGAAGTGGTAGTATTGCTTGCACCACATCATGCCGGAAAATGCCTGACGCTGGATGTTGCGCAAATCGTCAGCGATTGGGAGGGGACTGATTCTGTAGTAGAATTCGTCGGCTTCGGCGCGACGCTGTTCTATAATGTCGTCGAACATTTCTTCGTCAAGGAATCCGTCGTTTCTCCTTGAGAGCCTAAAGCGGACAACAGCGCACTCGCCAGGTGGGACACCATCGCCTTCGTCAAAAGCGAACCAGGCACCGCACTTGGTACCAGTGTTCTCAGGGTTGACAGCATCCTTCTGCTCGTCCACGATGCGGCGATGAATAGCGTCCTTGACATATGGAACCTTGTTTTCCACGTTCCATAGCCCCTTGTAGTTGGTATCATTGTCGGTGAAGAGAAGCTCAGGCTGGACGTCTTCGCCGCTTGGGCCGGTGCCCGGGGATGGGGAGAGCTGAAAGTAGCGATCGCCGAGCTTGTGGTGTTTTGATTGCGCTGTTGTTGGACCAATCTTGGTGATTGAGGGCTTCAGCTTCTCGTCCTCGTGACCCCATGCCCAGGTATTCCTGAACCAACAATGAGGTACAATGTGTAGCGGTGCCGGTTCTGGGCCACGGTTGTAAGCTGTCACTCGGAAGCACATCTCCTCTGGATCGTCCGCTTCCTTCGCAGTCTCGATGAAGATGTCCCAATACCGGTCATCGTCGAAGATGCCCGTGTCGACAAGGTTGTACTCCTTGTCCAGCCTCGTTCGCTTCGCATTCGTCTCGATGAGGTCTTCGTATGGGAATTTCCGCTGAGGAAGTTTGTACAGAAATTTCATGTACGAGTGCTACGATTGAATTAGCGATATCTGCGTAGCGAGCGAAACCAACATACTGTTGGCGTGTTGTCCAGGTGAAAATGGCACTCTTTGAGCGACTCGCCGTGGTTACCCTGAGGGTTGGACAATCCGAAAAGGCGCTCTTTGAGGAAGTCGCTGCAGGGAAGTCAGCCTGTGTCGCAAATGTTGCACTGGCGCACACATACTCTTTCTCGTTCCAGAAAGCAAAGGCAATGTTCTGGAAGCCGTGTGAATCGGACACACCAGCAATGCCGTCCTCGCCCCAGCGAAAGGCGCGCGACCGCGCCATGTCGTGCGTGAAATCTACGAACGTTAGAAAAGGTAGTTGGCACCGAAGATGTGTACTCACGGCTCCAGGCATCTCCATCAGGGCTGCAAAAGTTTGTTAGTAGCGTACCATGGCGATGACAGTAGGTGCACTCACGAGTAATCTTCGCGGACTGGACACAAGTTAGATTGGTGGTAATAGACTCATGGAGAGGAAGACTGACCTGTTGCCCACTGCCTCTCGGCGACGTAGGGTCCCCATCGCTTCCAGTAGGCGGTACGTTCTCGGTCCTGCTTCAGACGCTTCTCCTCTTCGCAGAGGTATTCTTGATTCTCAATGAGAACCATGGTGACAATGTGTGCCGGAGTGATGTAGGAGGAATGCTGACGGCAGAGAGTGAGTGAGGTTTGGGGGATGGCGCGTGCAGCGGTGTCGAGGGAATTATTTCCTGCAGGTAGTATGGAGCAAACAATGGGGTAATCAGACGATCAAGATAGTGGAGAAGAAGGAGGTGGGGTAATGTATATGAGAGACGCCGATGGCGAGGGAGTCCAATGTTTGGAGGTGGTGTGAATAGAGGAAGAGACAGAAGGCGGACAAGATTTTGTCAAGGCGCGTGTCTTGGTGGTGGCTACCACCGACTTTCGACGCAGGAACTCGCGATGCATCATAGGACGGCAACCGTGCATCGCGGGACTTATCGCGAACGGCTGACCTAAGCCCACTCTAGCCTAATGCTCTCCTCCGCCAGGTTTCAATCCCATGTCTATCCCATGTCTCACGAGCCGCAAAAGAGCTGGCCAGAAGCTTGGAAATGCCCATGCCCGCCGCTGCAGCAGCGTCGGCTACACGTGTCGCCCATCTGTTGAGCCGCTCCAAAATCTCTGCGCCAAAGTGTTGAACGCGCTTACTGGGGGCGACGCCAACCTTGAACAAGCAACCACGATAAAGACGTTAGTCTCCGGTCCTCCCCACTGTGCCATCGCCGATCGGACCTGGCCAGCTTCGGAAGGCCCTTCTGGGGTGTGGAGTTGTGACAGCGGATCCTGGCATGGGGATTCGCATGCCACACGTATCGACTTTTGAACGTGGTGTCGTCCCTGCTTCCGCGGCATGCAGCACAGTTATGTGGAAGAGTTGGGATGCATATAGTCGCGTTTCCGAGACTGCGCGCCAGACGCCAATTCACGTGATGTATCACCGACATCCGGCGGGTAGCCCTAAACATATCTAGGCGTATGACTACTCATGTGCGGGAGGTTAATGGTAAGGAATGACGTCATCTGCTGCATGTCTTCCTTGAGAAAAAGTTGAGTTTACTATTATGAAACGAATGCACACGGGCCGAGGGAATCTAAGGATACGATACAGCACCGTCTCACAGCTCTCACGAGGGTGGCGGGGAAGTCGGTGTGGCAAGTCTGGCCGCCCTACATGAACTTTGACCGAATCGATCAGATGTTCCCGTTTGAGCAGCCCTCATATCATGCGGCTCAGTCCATGGCAATATAGTTCACTTTCACCTCTGGATCCAACAACGCTACCGAACGATCATGCCTAATGCGCACACATGTTAACCAAGCTTTGCATAGTAGCCGATCAAGTCATCACCACTAGTCATGAGTTGCTGATGCATAAATAACCTCTTTCACGTGCCTCCAAAGCGCAGAGGTGAAAAGCTGCCAGGTTTGAGTATTTCTATCCAGACGATGTACGAGGTCCATGCAAAGAGTGGTAAGCTTGCTGGAAGATTGGGATGTTTTCAAGCAAAACCTCGAATCGCTGGAACTGTGCATCGGAAAAAAAGACGTGTATGTGAGTGACAGGGGGGCTACCGTTTGCTAGACTACCTACCGCCCAAGTCCATACGAAGGATCTAGTGCTCGAGGTCAATTGCAGGTGCTTCTTTTGCGTATCCACCAAGTCGCGGAACGAGTCCCAACCCTGCAGGCGGCTTCATAGTCTATGTACCATGTCGCTTTGGTCGCCATGAGCGATGCGTGACCTTTCTACAGTGCTTGCTCTCTATGCTATGGTGTTGATGATGGAGAAAACATAGAGGGGCGTGGACCAGAGCTGGCCGCTAGCGCCTGCCACGGCGATTCTTCGGGCCGCGCCATTGATGGTCAGGTACGCGGCCGCTCAGCTCTACCAAACAATACACGTCTCCCAAGTCCGACATCCTCACACAGTCTCGCCCAAGATGCTCGTCTCTCTCACAGTCGGAAAGGTCGATGCTGGAGTAGCTGTGCTACTGACAGAAGACAAGCGTCTTGTGAGCCCCTCAATGCCGCTCAACGCAGCGCAAGCGCATCCTTGCCCTTCACTCTGGCTGACGTAAAGGTAGATTGAGTTCCCCTCTATATTGCTACCCCCAGACATCTCGTCAGGCTCCATGGTGGACATCGATGTGGGAAGAAACTACAAAGCCGAAGCCGACGCCCAGAAAGCCTTCCATGAGCTCCAGTCGGAGATCTTCCGCACCTTTGGCCAGCGCACGCCCTCAGCCCCCATCCTCAAATGCCGCAATGCTACGCAAACCTCAGTCGTCCTCGAGTGGGATCCTATCGACATCGCAACCGCCGAACTGCGCAGCCTCACACTATACCGCAATGGCAACAAGGCAGGCACAATCCCCAAGCCCAGCGACGTGCACAGCACCAAGCTGAGTGGTCTAGCTGTCGACACGGAATATCAGTTCCACCTGGTCCTCAAGACTAGCGCGGGCACTTTCAGCAGCGAGAAGCTGTTGGTACAAACACACAAGATGACGGACTTGTCTGGTATCACCATCACGCCTGGCCACATGCCTGCTGCTCTCCGAGAGTCTTTGCAACGGTCTGTGGAAAGAATTGGCGCCAAGATCGCGGACAATGTGCGCATTGACACCACGCACTTCGTATGCACTGAAGGCAGAGGGCCTGCATGGGAGAAGGCCGTCGAGAACAACATTCCTGTAGTCGTTCCAGATTGGGTCATAGGTTGCGAGAGGGAGGGCAGGATTGTCGGTGTGAGGGGCTACTACCTGAACGCAGACCCCAGATTACGAAGCGTCGGTCCGGGAGGTTCCCAACAACCCGCCCAGCAATCACAACAGCAGCCTCAGCAACAGCAGCAGCAGCAGCAACCCAGAAGTCCTATCATGAGCCCGCGCACCGAGGTGACACCACCTACACCCGAGCAACCGAGGCGTGACCGCGATACCGACGGTGCGGCGCCACCCCCTCCGCCGCCCAAAGATGACGTTAGCGAGAAGAGCGAGCGAAACTCAGTGGAGCCGAAGATGCAGACAGAAGAGCAAAAGGCTCGAACCGAGGATCTCAAGCCGCAAAATGGGAAGGAACAACAGCAAGAGGATAGCATGGACGACGAATCCGAGCCTGAACCCAACGACGAGAAGTCTCTGGAAGCGAGTTTACCACAGAGACCGAAGCCAGGGCAAGCATCAGCTGAAGACGATGGCGATGGAGCAAGTTTCCAAGATGTGGAGATTTAGTAGGGGTGCTGAGAGGACATGTCGAATCGGGAACGCCACAGCGTGTCGACCTAGCTACCGATCCGCAGCATGGACCAAAACCACGATTATAGCGTTGTAATGATACCAATTCTCAAGACTCTGTTGGTGACAAAAATTGCGGTCCCTAATCTAATTACCCTAGTCAGAGACAGTATCCCGAGCCCCGAAGTCTGACCAGGAACGTCAAAGGGGCCTAGCGCTAACGTACTCGAACACATCTCATTGGACCAAGCCAGCATGTAGGGATCCCTAAGTAACCCACAGACACTAAGATCTTACGAGAGGTCAAAGCATCATGTCCTACCTTATATAAATTCCGTCGTGTGCCGAAATGTACTGGCGACCAGTAAACCCCGTTTCCCCTATCTCCTCAACTATGAATTGGATATTGTAGCAATGGCTCTCTTCCAACTGCCCTCGGTCTTTGTAATGTTACAAGTACCTCTTCTCTACTTGATCAATATCCTTGCCCTTGCGGTCAGACCCGAACGTCAACTCCTCCGCGTCTCTATCAGTCTACCTCTTGTCCTCCTACTCGCGGCTCAATCTCTGTATAGAGATTGGGGAGATGCAGGCTGGGGATACAACTTCGCAATCAATTGCGGGGTGTGCACTCGTGTATTCACCTACGTTGACTGGGTTCTACTACGGAGTCCTGACAAAGAAGGGTGGTACAAGATACAGTATGGAAACGACAAGAAGAACGACGATGCGAAAAGGCTAGACTACGAAGACGTACCCGGCGGTGCAGGGAGAAGTTTCTGGAGCAGAGCATGGTGGGCAATTCGTCTCTCGACATCGAACCGTTACACAGGGTGGAGCAACCAAGTCAAGAACGTGTGCATGGAGGTACCTGCCAACTACCCCCGTCTGTAAGTCTACTCAATTCCACTTACTTCCCAACCCGTCGTCTAATCCACTCCAGTAACTTTATCGCCCGGAAACTCATGCGCGGCCTCATCTTCTTCATCTTAAAAGACATCCTCGTCTGTCACTCCGCCGCATCCCCACACGGCTCCTGGATCGATATTCGCACGCAGAAACCGCATCAGCCCTTTACTCTGGACACACCCTTTCTCACTCGCTTCTACTACACTTGGCTCCACATCCTGCTTACCTTTACCACCATGGAGTTCTACAACATCGCTTACGGTATTGTATCCGTAGCCACCGGTCTCGCCAACCCGCGAGACTGTCCCTCCATGTTTGGAAGATTCCGCGATTTGTACAGTGTACGCAGTACGTGGTCTGCGGTGTGGCATCAACAGTGCCGTCGTGTTTGCTCTCCGGTTAGTGTCTGGTTAGCGAGAGATGTGCTGGGTTTGCGCAAGGGGTCTTTTGCGTCCAAGTATGTTCAGCTTTTCGTGGCGTTTGGTATTTCGGGCTTGGTACATGGGGTAGCGAGTATGTTGGTGAATCGCGAGTTTGATGATGATGGTGCGATCAAGTGCTTTTTGTTGCAGGCGGTGGTTATTATGGTGGAGGATCATGTTGTTGACTTGGGGAAGGCGATGGGGCTCAGGGATGGTGCATTTTGGCGTGTGGTGGGCTTTTTGTGGATGGTGGGTGCGCTGGGGTGGAGCCTTGAGCCGTGGGTTGGTAGGAATATTGCGAGAGGTGTTTGGGTGCAGAGTAGGGAGTTGGATTTGTTTGGTATTGGGCCTGTGGTAGTCGCGTAGACGTTCTTTCTTGAGTCTTCAATGGAAGATCTGAGAAGCTATCGACGTTTCAGCGCAGACTGTACCTTTTCACTGGCTTGTCGCTCGCGAGGGCTTCGCCATGCATATAACCGTGGATATAAACGTCTCCAACATAACGATACTCATTGCTTTTACCCTCCGCGCGGAGTATGATGGGCGTTGAACAACCAAATGGCACGACGACGATGTCTTCGCGGCTCATGAAACCTGTCCCCATACCCATCAAGCCGTCTCTCGTGATGCAAAATGTTCTACCCATCTGTGGTTGAGACATGGCATTAGCATAGACGATGAGATTGAAGGACTCCACTTACCATTCTATCACCAAAATGCTTCTGTATGAATGACCGTAGCTCATGGGGTTGCAAGTTATCTGACTCCCCTTGGTGTTGGAACTTGGGGTCCAGCTTCAGACGTGGGAATCGCTCCTGGATCCATGAAGAGAAGGTATAATAGCAGGCCCTCGTCCAGCAGTGCTCTAGTTCTTCGAGTGGCTGACCTAATGAGAGCGTTTTGCAGAAGTCATTTACACGCGGATGGTCCGCCTCTTCGTCTTCCGTAATGTCGAAATGAGAGAGAAGCAGCACCCGCCAATTCAGAAAGGCCATGAGATAGTCTTGTAACGAGCAAAGAGTGCCTACCGCCACACCAGTCGTAGCGATAATATCCAATTCGATGGCAGAGATCTCAAGCTTCCGTAATCCATCCTTGAACTCGTATTCAGCGTCGCGGTCGCTTGCCGCCGAGAAGTTATCCGAAGACAGAGCCGAGTTTTCTGGAACCTGTGCCCAATTTGGACACCATGTAGGCAAGTCGGTAAAGCTGACCTGAACAGGAAAGTGAATCGCTTCGCGCATCACATCAAGGCGATGCGTGGAACAGATGATGAGTCGGGCGACTTCCAGGTATAGAGACTTGACAGATTTGTCATAGCTCACATGTAGGCGTTCGCGTATATCGCTTGGGAGTATGCCTAGCACACCGAATATCTTATCCCTTGGGTTCTCGCTTAGCTTCCTTCGGCAAGCTCGTAAAACTTCTAGCAGAGAGTTTGGGCCCAACACCATGAGACGTTGAACGTCTGGAAAGCTACTTGGTCCTGTCCAGAGGTAAGGGTCGCTTTCGTGTTGCCAAAGAGCATCTGATGCCTTCTTATATAGGTACCAGGGGAGTTTGGAAGAGCCGCAGTAGACTTTCTTGCTCTTCGCATGAAATACTTCCTGTACAACCCAAAGCCGACTCCAATAGTTCCTCCTGAATAGAGAGTGCAAGGCTTTAAAGTCGCGATGCTCCAAAAGGCCGGTCCATTCGCTCTTCGCGTGGGCCACCGAATCCTTTAATAGTCGTATTGCCCGCCCACTATCATCCGCTTCACGTCCAAGCCAAATGGCAACACATGTCGCCTGTCGATAAATTCTGTCCATCAACTGAACCTGCTTCGCGCGTTCCATTTTGTTCTCCTGGTCAATTGAGAGGCCGTCTATCCAAACAAGAATGGCGCGGTCTGGTTCGCGGACAGCCATTAGGGCATCGTAAAGATTCGAGTTGACTGAAACGCGTTCAACGCCTTCCAAATTTATCTGTCTCTTATCAAAGCCATCCCCCCATGCATAAGAAATTGCAATATAATCTGGTGGATGGCGAAGCGAACTATAGACCATCTTGCACTCTAAACCTTGTCCACTCTCCGGAGACACCTCTATAAGCCGAAAATCATTTGCACCTTGCAGCTCTCTATACACGACTTCTCTTGCACTAGGAATCTTCATAGAGCTGCTCACTGCAGTTGCGAAATCTGAATCGGCCAATGGAGTTCCTTCAGTGGGACCGGCATACGCAATGCTTGCTGCAAGCTTTATGCCCTCGGCAGTGATAGTAAAGCGATCCGCTGACTGGCCTGTAGAATGTTGTTTTCGATGGGTTTCCTGAACAGAATGCGTGGTTTTCTCGAAAGTCTTCTTCTTTGTCACGTCAATCTGCGCAGGTTAGCAATGCTCGACCACGGAACGCCTTCTCGTTGATGCTACCTTTTGATATGCAGTATGGGAGGAACGGCTGATTGGTCCCAGAAGGGCATGATAAAGATCACTGGCTTGCTGGGCCGTAGTAGGCAAGAGACCATTGTCTTGCTGTATCGGGGTCTCAAAGAGATGATCGCCTCGTCTCATTGGCTTTGTGGCAGATTTTCCATGGCGGTGGAAAGTCTTTTTTATGTTCCTCATAGTTCCCCCGTATCGTGACCAACCGCATTGCTTGGCTCTCCGCCAAGTTGTGTAGTGATCAGTGAAACCGAAAGAAGCGGCTGTTCGCAACGCAGCCAGATGCGGGGTTTTCAGCTGTGATGTGTCAGCCAGGCTGCAGGATTGTCCAAGCGAGTAAATGATGCCATTGTTCGAATACCTGCTTTGAAATGTTGCTTTTTGTACTGCAGATGGGAGGTACAAATATAAATTTCTGGTAGTGAATAGAATTGCGTCATGGTGTTGACAGTCTCGAGGTAGCAGACAGGTTTGTGTGGGAAGGCACGCGAAGATTGACGATTCGACTTCCTACCGAGACTTAAAAGAATATTTCGAAGCGACAATGTATGCGAACTGCTTGTCAATCTGTGAGAAGGGCGAGTGGCCTGGATGTAGTATTCCATTCCCGAGTAAATAATGCTCATAGCACATCGGCCTCTTCCTCAAGTGACCGTGCAGTACTATGCCCTTAAACGCCATATATGCATACATCTTCATACCCAAATTTACATGCGAAGAACATATCTCATTCCCATCTCTTCACGTCTGTTCGTACGCTCCCATAGCCTCACCGGCCCTCTGCTCGATATAGTACCCCGGATCCGGTCTCCTTGCAGCGCGCATTTGGTCTTTCGTCATTGGATTCTTGACCTCCTTGACATCGACCAATTCCTTTATTCTCATGATCTGACCAGCGACAGATTGTGTAACGGGGTGGTAGACAGTCGTCATGCGTTTGCGGAGACCGAGCGCTTTGAGTACTCCTTGCGTCTTCTCGGGCATACCGATGCCGGAGCGCATAAGTGTTATCCGGAAATAAGACATGGTGGGTATGTGATGTAGAGAGTTGGTGGCTTCGACGCGAGGTCTCGGTGCGGTTGCGAGTGGCTATGGATGGATTTGGTGTGGCGTTTGGCGTGGGTTCCGCGGCGACACAGGGTCAAATTAACTACCGAGATGTCAGATTGAAGTGTTCATGTCTTGAGCAACTTCACATACCGTTTGTGTGGCGACGTGACGATGATGCCCGCCTGCGCGCTTGCGATTGTCATCACCAACTTTTCGTACTTCTGGAGACCTCGGCATGCGACGCTTGTCCCGAAATGGCCTAGAATCGCGCTGGGCGGATGCCGAACCACGTGTGCGGGACCTTCACTCCTCTCTTCGCACCCATCTTGCATGATGAACATCAATCGCGTTATGGTCAGCTCGATCCCACCGGCGCCGTCTGGAGAAGGAGCGGTGAGAACCTACCGACAGGTGTCGTCACTACTCCACGCAGGTCGCCTTCCTCCCGCGCCCCTGGATGCGGTACTGTGAATTTCATCGCCGATGTGCATTCGGTACTCGGGAGGGACTGCACGTCCCTCTCTCGCGATACGGCGCATACGGCAAATGGGATGCGATGCCTGACGCTCCTACATATGCGCATGTCCGTTTGCCTGTACGACCCCAAAATTGGGTTTTAAGGAGACGACACATCGGTCGGATGCCTTGACGCTTCCAGCGGCACAAAAGCCATGTCTCAAAATTTCTATCTTTCGTCCAGTCTTTTCCTGGGGCATTCTGGGGAGATGATGTCTCGATGTCGAATCCGATATTCTTGTCAAACACCAATTCCTACATGTCTGCATGCATTCATGTGTTTTCGAATGCGCTTTTCATCAATAGCTCGTCACTTCATGTCCGCTATCACGAGTATCTCGTTCCATCATCGATGGCGGTGTTCTCCGTATCGGAATACACTAGAGATCCAAACGTGCCTCGCTAAGAGGACCTTCGCGTCGATACGCCTGACGTACAATCCGTATTATGTGGTCATGCAAGATACCGCGATCTGCATATCAAACGGATAGCGATGGAGAAAGGGCATTCGAAGCAATGATGCCGACGACCCGTTCCACATGCACCTGGCCTAACCCCCGTCACCAAACGAAAGACTCAGCACCGTTACGGTACTTCAAGACCAAATGTATTGTGACCGTCCCCACAACCCGGTTGGACCTGCCGACGGCACCGATGTGGGATCTCGTTGTCTCTTTGTTGACTCTCGGGTAGTCAACACTCGAACAGACGAAACGATGTACATGCCCGTCGGCGGCAGGAAAGTCAACATGACCAACGAAGTCCTGATTCAAATGCATTTATACCGTTTGAAGGGCCTCATTGACCGCTCTCTTGGGACTGTACGTTCGACTGGCACATGGAGGCATAAAAGACTTCTTTCCTTCTGAACATAATAGCTTCGATCATACAGTCCCCAATTTCAGAGTTGCCTGTCACGTTCTTTCAGTAGACTTCGAAGACACTACAAGTGGGTTTGACGTGGACAGTACATCCAATCGGCAACATCTCCTATTCGCTACAAGTCATTGTTTTGAAGGCACATCAATTACAACTCCATCATGACAGGTAAACTTCCGAACCCTCGCAGACACTCTGAATCGACATACTGATATACAAATAGCACTTTACACTCTTACGCAACCCCATCCCATTCATGCATCACCACCATCACCTCCCGCCCCAACCGCCATCCCAACACTGGTCTATCGCGTCCACCGCACCAGCTCGCAGACCCGCTACGCCTTCTCCACCGGATTCAGTTCCAAGAACCAAACAACCATCGTCAACTACACATCCGCACTATCCCGCTTCGGTCTCGCCCACCTGAACCAACAAACCAACATTTCTTCCCCCTTCATCAGCGTATACGACAACCTCGCTCATGCGGAAGCCGTGGCCAAGCACTTCGGAGAGCGTTATGGTGAGGACACCTGGGTTGTCACCGTGGATACCGCGCACTTTGCTCGTGGTCCAGTGTTTCGTGCGGCGGACCTGCTGAAGGATGCCGCCGGTGGCAAAGAGGTAGCAAGGGAGTGGTTGCATTATGGCGAGTATCTGGTCATGTATCGCATTCCGCCGCAGGCGATACGAGATGAGACACCTGTCTGCAGGGGTACGACTCAGCGAAGAGCGGTAGGTGTGATCGGTGGTGGAAAGTAAAGTGTGTTGGTGGTGATGGTAATCTTGGTGTAATCGGAGGGGTTAGGCGTATATCGGCCGCTGGGTCGGCTTAGCGAAACTACTGTATAATCTCGAAATATCTTTCCGTACTGTTGATAAATCTCCACCTACTGGTTGGTTTTCACTAGGTAGTCCATTCCTTAATTCTGAATCCTGTTTCTACGCAATGCCGCTACAGCTTCCAACCCATCGAATGCCTGATTGAAGCACCAGTCAATCCCAAACCAAAGTGCTTTGATACCTAGCCATAGCGGAAAGTACTGGAAGCCGTGAGTAGGCTCTTCTCTGGGTAGTGCAACCGCTTTTGTGCTCTTGCAAGAAGTGCCCTTGATAGGGGCCGGATAGTGGCTGGGAAGTTCGCGAAGTTTGGTACCCATGGATTGGTGCAGCCTTGCTAACCAGTACTTGACCAAACAATTGACTCACAACATACCTAGATATCTTTGCTATGAGTATATGCAGAAATTTACATTACCTTGAAACCTCAACCGCGCACTTGAGATATCTACCTGCCTATGCAGGAGAGTCGCAAGGCAGCACTGTCCGTGCGCAGGCCCACCCGTACATGGCTGCCTAGGGATGTAGGCCTAAACTCTCATACTGTGAAAGCTATAACCGCCGAAAATCTCGTGTCGTTTCATCACTCACCAATCAAGCTGTTATATTTCGAAACAATTGCATCTTGTCACATCCTCTTCATACCTACCTAGGTACTTGTACACATTCTGCATCAATACATCTTTCTTTGCGCCCCCGATGACTACCACCGTAGAAGAATGGATGGGAAACCTCTGCGTCTATGAAGACGATGAGTTTGTTCGCCACAGAAACTGGGGCTTTACTATTTACCGTACGGGCTACGGACCTTCATCTGACCAGCAATGGCACCGACTTCTCCAGACGATACAGACCAATGCGCACGAAGGGGCTCTAGACGCGACTGGAACCGAGGAAGACGATCCTGGCTTCCAACAATTATGGTCGTTTTTTAGTCTCGATGCGCGTTCCGACCCTGCTCTGGCTGGCCTCGATATGAATCAGCTTCGCGAACTATACAACAGTGGCGAGGGTGCTCAACCAATGAATACGGACTACAAACTACACCGAATATTCCTTTTTGCTGATGATGAGGTCCTATCGGACCCCACCGCTTCCATCATCAAGGCTGTGGATGCCGACTACCGTCCAGAAGACTATGTTTCGCGGAACCCGCGAGTTGGTCGGCAACGTTACTTTGGTTGGATGCCAATGAAGGTTGGCAGCGTGGCAGAATTATGGTCTCGATTGGATATTTGGGACATGAGTAGAATTGCCCCTCCGACGATTGGGGGAAGTCACTTGGTGGTTTGGGATGGAAACCGCTAGAAGTAAAGCGTAGGGGATCTGGAGATAATTCAATCGATTACAGCTTATAGGTGCAGCTCTCTCATCAATTCCGAGCATTTGAACAAGGGCGTGCTGAGCTCAGAGCTCTTCGAGTCCGTTGTGGCCGCATCGTTATACCGTAGCCGAATAACCTCGCATCAGACTTGTGTGCCATTCTGGTGCTTCTCAGATTTCAAGACAAGCTCCATTACCCTGTTGTACAGTTCTTCGGGTGTTATCCAGGTGTCGTCATCTGTAATGGACCATTTACACATATAAGCGCCCTCGTAGCCCATGGTAGCCAGCTTTTGTACCAGATAGTCCCGTTCGTCTACGACAACGCTGTTAGATAACGTCGATCTTACGCGTACATGAAGCACTTACATTCGTTATCTATCTTGTACTTGACGGTATAGTGAAATTCTAGACCGTGTGCCTTGAAGTACTCCTGGAGGCTGTGGAGCGAAAAAGGGTATGCGGCGTGCACTATGTCATGAACGTAGTAAATCCCCACTTTTTTGATCTTGCAAGGGCAGTTTGGATTGTCTTGAACAAGGGCCCGTAACTCAGAGGTATAGTCGACATTGGCGTTCATAGCGGATCTCTGATAATCTAGTCTCAACTCAACCAGATTCGGCGGCAGCAGATCGCGGAGCGATCGGGCAGGTTCTGGCGTCTCGGGTAATTCTGGGTAGTGAATTCCTCGCTGTTTGCCTACAATGGCAGTGTAGTCCAGTTCCAGTTCTTCCAATTCTTTCATTCCAGATAACAAATAGTTTCGCGGCCACAAACCCGTCCAGGTGAATGCACAATTTCCGTCCATACGAATTTCGAGTTTTTTGAGGGTTTCGCTATGTGATCTTGCAGCTTCGAGGAGTGCGGAATGCCAGTCCACTATGTTGTCATCGGGTTTATCTGGTCGATCACATCGGAAGCTTGACACCGTCGCACAGGATTGCAACAACTGTGTTATGTGACTTAACGGCGGTTCGGACGGCCAAATTATGGAGATATTTTGTATCTGAGACGACCTTGGACGTATATCCCAAGACCCATGGTCGATGCCAAGTGATGGGACACCGTATGATATGTCGTGAAGCTCTAAGGTCCTGAGCGATGGCAGATGCAATACAGGAGCTATCTTAGCCATGGGTATTCCTGTCATGTCGAGTGACAGAAAGCAGAGTTTTGCGAAACCAATCGATGCATCGGCTGATGCACTTACATACTGCTGGGCTGCGTGAAGCAATGGAGTAATCCAGAGGGCCCGATGAGGCGTATGCGCATTGTCTTCAGGTGTTGAATGGAATCCATGCCTACGCAAATTCCACAGCGGAGTAGTAGAGCAGTAAGCATGACTACTATAACGGTGATGCAATCTGGAAAGGACTTGGAGAGAGGTGCGAGCATCCCAGACAAGAAGCGCTAGTTCTACTTCTTCCGGATGAAGAGCAACGGCCTCGACGAAAGTATCTTCGTAAGGGAGGGATAATGTCCGGATATGTGCAGTCATCTCTGCCTTGCTCATGCTCAGGTCATTCTCACCTGCAGATCTCCCATCGCAGGATCCGCCGACCAATATCTCGCGAACATACGAGGCTACCTTAGGATGGTTGTGTAATGTACGGAGGAAGCCACGTGAGTTTCCGGGATTTTGGATCTGACAGCTCTCATAGAGAAACCGCATACCGAAGGGATATAGGTACTTGCAGGTCCTGGCAAGAGCGGCAAAGGTAGACCTTGCTGAGGCTCTATCACAAGTCGATCGCTCGGTTGCATCCCACGAGAAAACGCGCTATATCAGTGAGAATAAGAGTCAGTATATGCGACATATCTGCTTGTACGAGAAAGCTTATCGTTTGACTGTACTTATAACACCCGGTGAAGCCAGACACGACGAACGTCTCTGGAATACAGTACAGGTACTGCATCAAAAACAACGAGCTTGATTGGCGAGAATGACTTACCTCGCATATCTGCAGAATGAGCTCATCGGGGAGAGGAGCTAGCGGATTGACGATGGTATCTTTCGACGCTACGCGTGCAGACCCACGGCACAGGGCCTGAAGGTCAGTCAGCAAATGCGATGGGGCGATTGATGTGAAAGTCCGTCGCTCTCGCCTACTTGTATGGTTTTGCTCATCGGCGGCCTCAGGCATCGTACCACGAAATGTCGTTGCTTGCGGCTGCCTTCGCAACGCACCGAAGGCATGTGCACAAGTGATGAGATCTCGACAGTTCGTACTTACCTCCATAGTTCGTTCGTTAAGCAGAGTTGTCGCGTCAGTTGTTGTGGTGAGTGTCTTTTTCGGTGTCAAACATAACAGAACAGCCGCCTGAAATGCCCCTCGTCGGATGCTGGGTGGCTGCTGCCGAATGGAGGAAGGTGAGGCGACTGGGATGAGCGACTCCACGTTTCCTAATTGACGAAACACGAGTCACGAACCACAATTCTCTGGTTACAGCTCTCGCATCACAGATTTCTAACTTGACTACATTCCGGTCTTCCTAGGACCCAGCTGCTCTTCTAAGAATAAAAATTGGAGACGCAAGCCTGCAGCCATCCCACTCATATTTTGCACAGCTCTTTGGAAACATAGTTCTATATTTCGCGTATTAGAGATTGGATTCCGCTGTTGTGTATTACTCGTAGTCATTTGCCTTGTTGACAGAAGAAGGTAGCATATTAGAGGTGCACTCTTCTCCCCCACAGCTCGAAGTCGCTTGCTGCTTACGAGTGGCAGCCATCCTCTGCTAGACCTGCAGAGCCTCGTGTGTATCGCCCAAATACCATCTCGCCAATGAGTACGCTTCCTGTGACAGCAAATAGGAAGCCGATGTTGTAAGTCATGACAGCAAGCATTCTACTGTGTCGTTAACATCTCAGGTCTCAAAGGTTTCGTTCACGAACGTACAATACGTAGCCGATCAATGCTCGACTAAACTCCAAAGCAGCGCTTATCCCATCTTTCTTCACGCTCCAAGGTGCTTGTGCTACCCAGAAAATCTTGCGTGATGCAGTCGAGCCCCGTGTAGTACCAGTCTCCTCCGCTGCAGTTGGTTGTGGTACAACTGGGCTTAAAGGCTCAATCTCTTCCCTGTCCTTATCATCCAGTTCGAGAGGCTGTTGTCGCAGCGCACGGCTCCATTGTCTTACGTGGCCACGGACACTGTGGTTGACCAGCTTCTCCGTATTGGGTATAAGTTGTGGTGCGCTCTCGGCCTGCCGTTGCATCCTCCATTTTCTCTCCAGTTGGCTCTTGAAAGCACTTAGAAAGCGATTAAACATGCCTAGGAAGAAGAGGAAGAAGATGGTTAGCACGTAGGTCGCCGTTGTTGTCGTCGTCCATTCCGTGAACCACAGTGTGACGCGGGTACTACTCGAGAAGGTCGATGCCATCCCGGACATGTCCATTGCTGGCATTGATGCCTCGGGACGCATGGATGGCATGAGATGTACGTGAGCGTCAGCGGAGGTGGCCGAAGGCATGTCCATGCTCATGTCTGTGTCTGTGTCGATCAATACAAGTTGCAACAGAACAGCGTGTATGGTCGTTAGAGACGAAACTTCGAGTTGAAAACGTGGAAGACTGCTCCTGCAGTGAAAACGAAGATGTCAGCTGTCAAACTGTCAAAGAACACGTTCTCTGGCTCTGTACTATCATTAAGAGAGGTGAAGACCATATCAGCCGAGATCGCCAGGCACCGTGATGCGCAGATGTGGTGCCGCCAGATGAGCAAGTTTGAGGGCATACCTAGGTAGGCGCGCGACGGCCCGCAACGCGGAGTGGATGGCATGGACGTAGAGCTAGGTCTGACATTGTCGCAATTGTACTTAGGGAGCTCGATTGCGCTGGTTTGGCGAACCTTTTTGTCAATTTAGTGTCCAGTCTTAAGCCGATGAACAATTGAATCTCCGGCGTGTTCACGACATGAGGTCAGTACATTCTGTCTGCAAGTGCCGCCAACCATTTTCCGAATGGAAAAGCAGACCGCACATTTACCGCTCTTCATTTACGACCATGTCCTACACTTTGCATCTGCCTCTATCGCAGCCCAAGATCCCAAACTGGGTAAGTAGGCTGCAGAGGAGACTGTTCCGACTAGACTAAGCTGCAGTACAGACGTGTACAGAGCAGATCTGTATTTCCTCACTGCGTTGACGACCTCTGATGTAGATCAGGGCGTCTAGAGCCCAACTTTAGTAAGAAGTTTTCCCTGCGCCCAGGTTCCGAAGCCTGTAGCCCCACTGATACTCCTTTACGACAGACGTGTGAAGTCGGAGGGCATTCGCCGTCCTCGGGCACCATACTATGATCCACTTCCTCTGAGTGGACCATTCACTCGGTGTTTCGATGGTCGTTCAACGGTGTTAAGGTCGGTCGGATGCGTTCACGGTCGTGTGATGGACGCTGTGGCCGCAACGTACCCTGACGGCAAGTGCCATTACTTAGTGCACCGCCATACAGCCAAATGATGGCACGCCACATCGCACGCGTGTTTGCGGCGTATGTAGCCCCATCGGAGGTGGCCCCACCGGCGCGGTTTCACCTAGTGGTTCTGTGCGCGGAGATCGTGTGCTGACGATTCTGGAAGGTTGGAAGACTCACAACTGCAGAACACAGATTCGCAGTTCGTGTCATGTAGGAGAAGTATCCAGCGAGCTCGGACCGTCGCCTGGTCTGAAATGAACGTTGGCCGGGTGTGGAGTCAAAAGCAAGGCGCACGTGCTTTTGAAGGTTGTCGGCCCAAAATGAAGCCAAGACAGGCGGGAGATGTGCATCAAAGGTTGTTCACCAATTAGACACCGGCTGTAGCGTCCCCTGCCTTTCCCTTCTGGCAACGTGGTTCGAAAACGGCGAGATTCCAAGATTGAGATGTCCTCTTGCAGATGGACAACGTGACGGAGTCAAGGGCCGATGCATGTGAGATGCGCGTACATTGGGCGCTATGACATGGAACGCGTCGAGTGATGATGATACCAACACTCGAGGCCAGGGCCATGCTGGTGATGATACGAAGCCTGTGCCCCGAGCGCCATGCATGCACGGCTGCTACCGAACGGTGCAGCGAAGGTTGTCAACATTGCTCAGTCGAAACTTTTGTTTGCTATACATAATTTCTTCTTGCACGCGACCTTCTGCCTTAGACTACTACAGCCACATTGTAATCACCCTCGCCTTGCTTCAACGTCGGACGTGCCCCGCTTACCATAATAAGGTTTTGGACATATCCCCAGATTTCCTTCGGTAATCTCATCAGGGGCACCTTGAGCAGCGCGCACCTCCAACACCCGTATCTGAAACTCTCTGGAAGAGCTCCCCCGAAACACACATCCTACCGTCGACTGCTCGTGATGCTCTGTCGCCGACTCCCCCCAATATAGCCCGACACGTCTGGTGCCATGCCGAGCTGGAGACCGCTCCCGCGCATCGCGTTCGCAATATGCATATACCCCTTCCAGCCCTCGTCGCCCGCCGACCTGCCCCTCGAGATCGGTGACGAGCTGTACATCATCGAGCAGGGCGGCCAGGATGGATCATGGTATCGAGGATACTTGGTTGCGCCGCCCTCGCTGTTGGCCGGCCTGACGAGCGTGAAGGGCCAGACACTCGAGGCACGCGTCTTCTCCGGCATATTCCCGCGATCGTGCGTCGAGGTGCGTGAAGTCCTGGGAGAGAGCAAAGACACGGTGAACCAGGAAGCTGGACACGACTCGGGTCGTGGGAGTCACTACGCGCATCCGACCAACGGCATCGTCACACCCACCGAAAGCACACGTGCGACCTCTCCCTCTGCTAAAGGCTCTGGACCGAATGCGCGACGAACCTCCAAGACCGATGCCGTCTCTGCGCTGCCCTCGTCCCTGGCGCGCCCACTCTCACGTCACAGGTCTGCCCGAAAGCGCGCGGGCAGCACCCACTCCCAGTGGACCTCGCGCGAGGAGCATCTCCAGCAATTGATGCTTCCGCTATCGCCCATATCCGACCCGACCGCCCCACGACCGCCCGCGCCAGTACCGATGCTAAAGATTGGCGACGAGACACCCACCTCCGCCCAGGAGCCATTGGTGGACGAGATCGCCTCCTGCCTTCGCGAATGGCATTCCACAAAGGTACACGAGCTGCTACTGGCACGCAAGTATGGCTCGTTGGACAAGATGTCACGGCTAGTGAACCGTCTGGACACGGCGCGCCGCCAGCTGTTGCACAAGGTTCTCACGGCCAAGGAGCTGGAAAAGGTACGCGAGGCGACCGTCTGGGATCTTGTGGCAGGCAACAAGATGCTCTGCGGAGACGTCATCGTACGGAGCCCCTCGCAGCGCGGCCGCATCCTGACGGGCGACGACTCGGCCATCGAAGTTACAAAACTGCAGTCAATGATGAGTCTATTGGATAGCCGTCCAACAGCCCATGTCGACGAGCACAACCTACACCATTTGTTCGTCAGTCTGAAACATGTGACGGGAGACGTCGTAAATGGCGCGGCTCAAATCAGCATGTACCTGTGCCTGAAGACGCCAGGAGCAGCGCCACAGCCACTCTCCGAGGCATATTCATTCGACTTGACTGGACGAGATGGAGCAGCCGTGTCCCTGAGCAATGAGAAACTTCGCGCACTGCTTGTGGATCTCAGCCTGACCGACATAGGTGAGGGCGCAGGATCCGGCACTACTCTGTATCTTGTCTTCAGGCTGATGACAAATGAGCCACTTCGCTCGCCGGCTGCAGCCGAAAAGGCAGGCACGGGCAAGGACACACCGCCAAACAAGGGGTCGGTGCAGCCTTCCCAGCAGGGCAGCATCAAGGGTGGAAGGCGCAGCGTCATGTTCGGCTCCAAGAGGAAGGAGTCAACAAACTCCCGACACACCGAATCACGAAACACAGACTCTTCAGATGAACGCCACCACCCAAGCCTCGAACAGTCCCGATCACAGACATCTGATGCGAGACCAGGCTCTTCTGCAACTGCAAGCACGCGAGCCCGCGCTCTCTCAAGAGACCAGAAGACGCTGAAGAGATCCATCGCAGTTGGTGTGGTGCCTGTGAATCACATACTGCAAGCTCGGTCAGAGGCCGATCAGACTGTCAGAATGTACAGCACAGCAGCAGCTGGGGAAGACATCTCAGATAGTGATGGCGGCTGGGACAACGTGTTGCCAGAACTATACCCAAGCGCCAGCGGCAAATACAAGCTGAACGCGCCTATCAGTCGACTTGCCGTACACATGAAAGCCTTCGTCCATGCCGACGCCGAGGGCCTCATCGCGAAGATCCCCACAATGCTGCACAACATTAGGCAGTGTCGCAAGATTGGTTTCTCGGGGGCTCCGACAAAGCCACGCAGCGACATCTACCTCACGCTCGTCGAGCCTTTTCTCCCGAAGAACGCATTCCTGGCTCACCCAAAGACTGGCACCGTCCCGCTAGTCCAGACCTCTCAAATGACCAATCTTCAGCTTACCATTGAGGTCCGCAAGAGCTCTGGAGAGCGCATTGAGGGGTGCATCTACCCGTCAACTAACAGTGCAGGCCATACCGCATGGCGCACTACAGCAGCTCAGCGAGGCGAAGGCTGGAACGCGACAGTCCGGCTTGCTATCGACCCCCAGGATGTTCCCGGATCACATTTGGTCATGAGCATTGCCGATGCTCCCGGATTTCCATTTGCGCTTTGCTGGATGCCCCTCTGGAATCAGGATGCCTTCGCCCGCGATGGCGACCATGCTTTGACGCTGTACAGATACGACGAATACACCTCAGGCATGATTGCTGGAAAGGGAGCATACCTTGGCCTGCCTTGGAGTGCGAAGAAGAAGGATGACCATGTCATGGGTCCAATGGCATCTGTTCACGTCAAGACGTTCCTTTGCAGTACCCGATACTCCCAAGATCCGACCATACTCGGTCTCATCAAATGGCAGGAACAACCGCCAGGAGAGCTGGTAGGATTGTTGCGCCGGTTCAACTTTGTTCCAGAGATTGAGATTGTCAAGCTGTTGAGCGAAGTCTTCGACGCCCTGTTCGCTATACAAAGCCATTATGCCGGAAGCGATGAGTACGAGGATCTAGTCTTCAATGCTGTTGTCATTGTACTGGGCATAGTGCACGACAGACGCTTCAACCTTGAGCCATTGGTGGATCAGTATGCGCGGACCAAGTCATTCCATTCTCTCGTTACTTCATGTCTCATGCAAAGCCTGGGTCGACTGCTCGCCAAGCCTACAGACTCCGAGAGTTCTCGACGGCTGCGCGCAACTTTCAAAGTCGGCAACCTCATCATGAAGTTTTTGGTCAATGCGCGAGAGAAACAGAAGGTCAAAGAAGAGAGTATTGGCATCAAAGATCGAACGCAATTCAGCAAGGAGATGAGGGTATTGTTTGCCTCGTTGGAGGCTCTCATGGGAAACCCATCGCCTGTCCTCATTGGTACCAAGACTCTTCTTGTGCA